ATTTTCGATTTTTCGAAATTTCACCTCGATGAGGCACGGGTTAGCATTATCCAATTGAGCTAAAACTTTACAAATGTCATTTTTTAGTCAAGTGGCACAATTTAGGAGGTTCCCCCGATAAGATTTCAACATTTTTTTTACATATAGCGTTGTAACCAACCTAATATATATACACATGAACTATTTGCTTATTTATCAGATAGCTTTTTGTTATTTTAGTTTTAAGTGATCAACGCCTATGAAATGAATTAGATGTTAACAGAGATTCTTTAGTAAAAATTTTATCTACAACAATTTTTCAAATAATTTTTCCACATTTTTGAAATTTTATGATTAATGTTCTTTAGCATTTTTGCTATTTTTTTTAAGAAATAGATGAATTAATGTCAAGATGGCGATGATGAATGGTTCGTGGTTTGAGTTATTTATTTATAATCATTACAGTTGCATGCTTGTATCATCATCATTTTCAGCATTATATCATTGCTCTTATATCAATCACCAATCTCTTTGACGTCAACCAGATCACCAATTCCATTATCACATCATACCATTTTGCCTATCCGTATTACCATCATTCTTTTCACATCATCATCATTCTTTCCACATCATCATCACCATTCTTTTCACATCATCATCATTCTTTCCAAATAATTATCATCATCTTCCACTTTTTTTAATAGCTATTTGCAGAAAATCTCTGTCATTATTTTATAAGCAGGCAGCCCCATTTGTCTTCATGTTCGTTGCATCCAACAGGCACATTTATCTCATGATATCATTGTACATCCACTGTGTTGTCTCTCATTATTATTATTATTATCATTATCATCATCATCATCGTCGTAGTCATCATCAATGGGGTTTTTATTAGTCATATTCATGTGCTACTGTTGTCATGTGCATTGTTGTTATCATCATCGTTGTCAACATCGTCATCGTTATTATCATCGACATTGTCATCATCATCATCATCATTATCGTTGTTTTCATCATCGTATTCGAGTGTTATGTTTGTTATATGTTACACGTCGTTAATTTCATCATATAATTCAATAAATGATCATTTATTTATCATCACACTTATTTCCTTCATCACCCACCGTATCATCATCATCATCACTGTTTCCGTATTATACTGTTTAGAAGTATTTCTGTGAAATGTTTTTAATGGCTGTCTCTCATTCATTCATTCATTCAGTCAGTCAGTCAGTCAGTCAGTCGGTAACATAAATAAATATTATAGAGCTTATTAATTTTTACATTCTAGGTAACAACACTTGTATTGTTCTGAATGTATGAAATGCTCTGTTACTTTTACCAAATTATTTAATGGTCGAAGAAAATTTATTTAAATCGTGATCATCATCATCGCGAAGGACACCAACATCATCATCATCATTATTTACATCATCATCGTCATCATCAACAACACAGTCACATACACCTATGCAATTGTCATGTTACCGAGTGGGATGTCTCAAGTCTTTGTGAAAATGCTTTTCAATTTTTTCTGCTTTTTTTTTGTCTGTCAGTCTGTTCAATTGATTGATTGGTTGGTTGGTTGATTGATTAATTGGTTGGTTGATTGATTAATTGGTTGGTTGGTTTCATTGGTTGATTGATTGATTGATTGGCTGATTGATTGGTTGGTTGATTGATCATGGCTGGTACCTAACCCATTTATACGCACATGCATATTCATTCATACATGCCTTACCTTACACTAATACAGTAAAAGTCGTCTAGAGAGGACACCATTGGGTAATGACCAAACTGTCCTCTCCTCTTAACTGTCCTCTCCTCAAGACTCAACATCAAAATCTTTTTTGATATACTACATAAAAAATTAAAATAAAACAACACGTTTTTAATATTGTTATGGAAGAAAATCATTCATAGTTGTCTGTTTGCCAAAACATTTTGTTTTTAACAATTCAATTTCTAAAATATTTTCAATGTTCTCAGAAAATTGTAACAATTCTCTATTGCCCATATGTATCGAATAGGAAGTTAGCTTCCGGGCACATTGTAATGCCATCTTTGTAGAAACTTCTTGGACTGGAGCCTCTTCTTCCTCTTCATCATCTTGGACTTCAAATTTTTCATGATTTTCAGAACTTTGTGGGCTATGGATTGAGTCATCATTGTTATCCATGGTTACAAAATTCTCCCAAGTAACAGAACCCAAAAGTCTGGTTATGGTAGGATCAGCTTCAATCAGCTGCACATCTGTATCTATATTTTCTCCTATTCCAAAACCACACTTATTAAAACATTTTGTGATTGAAGTAGGATTAACATTTCTCCATGCCACATCCAACCAATTAATTGCATCTAATAGGTTAACAGATTTTGCTAGTTCTTGTGCTGTATCTGCTTCTTCCATGTCTGTCGAAACATGTCTCAATAACTTTTTCCTATAAATAGCTTTAATTTGTGAAATTATGCCAGCATCTAATGGCTGCAAGCATGACGTTGTTTTTGGTGGTAAATACTTAACGATAACATTTGACATGGAAATCTCTGGATGAGCAGAACAATTATCAACAAAGAGAAGGATCTTTCTTCCTAAAAAAATGTGTTAATTAGATAAGTATAAAAAATATTTATATATTTAATTTAAACGCCAAACCTTTTATTTGCATTTTATTGTTTAAGATTTGGTACCACTCTAAAAATAATCTGGCAGTCATCCATGCCCTTTTGTTCCAGCGATACATCACAGGTGAACTGTTTTTTTTCAAGGCTATAGATAAAATTAATCAGTTGAAATTTTTTTATAGTTTTGAAAATGTCATCTGAAATTTTAACCTTTAAAACATCGAGGATTTTCTGCATAGCCAATGACCAAAGGTGGCAATTTTTCCCCTGTCTGAGAGCAAGCTAAAAGAACAGTTATTCTTTTTTTGGCTGTCTTGATGCCTTTCCTTTTATCAGATTTCAAAACAAGTGAACGTTGTGGTAAACTGCGATAATAAAGACCTGTCTCATCTGCATTGAATATATTTTCAGGTAAGAATCCAGATGTAATCTCAGGAAGCCTTTTTTTCCAATCATCAACTATTTTTTCATCAACATCAGCAGCTTCACCAGCAAGTTGTACAAATATTATCCCAAACTGCTTCTGCCAACTTCTTAGCCAACCAGTTGATGCCATGAAATTTTTACAGCCGATACAGTCTACAGCAATAACAATAGCTTTTTCCTAACAATAATAAAGAAGGTTAGAAAAAAACAAAATAAATTTTTTATTTTCCCTATTTTTAAAAAGGTGGTAAGGTAAAATTTTGTTTAAAGAACTCTAACCTTCACCATTGGTCCACTAACTGGCAGATTCTTTGACCGAGCTTCAGAAAACCATTCAAACAATTTAAAATTGATCTCTTCAAAATCCGTTTTTCGTCTTTTCAACGTTTTATTCTTACTCGGCACTCCCGCTTCCCACTGCCTTTTTACAGATTCTTTATTTTCACGAATATTTGCAATTTGAGTTTTTCCGCAACTAAATTCTTCAGCAATTTTTCGTATGCTAACTCCATCATTTAATTTTTTCACCACCAGCATTTTTTCTTCCAAGTTGAAAAATTTTTTTCGCAGAGTCGACTTCATTATTACACAACAGTTTATCAACACGACCGCGATACAAATATTCAAATTAGATGGTGCATTTTATCAAATATTCCATGTGTTTTTGTTATAAATTGTCCGCTCTTTAAGACATAAAAGTCAATTTGTACTTAAAACCCTGTCCGTAGTTCGTTCCTTTAAAATGTCCGTTCTTTAGGGTCTATTTAACATGCAAAACGGTTCCGTGCCAAGCAATACTGTCCGTTACTCTTATCTGTCCGTTCTTTAGGGTCCCGCTCTAGAGGACTTTTACTGTAGTGTCTTATGCACATGCCACATAGATCCATTCACCAGCGTTTAATCTTATTTGAATTGTAAACAACTTGATAAAGTTGAACTGATCGTACTGTGTTCCTCTGTCAGTATTGTATGCTGTTTGCTTTCCGTACTATACTAGATTTTAAGTTTATAGAACGTTCATAATTACATAGATAAATAAATATAATATGTAATAATTTTCAACTGAGTAATTTCTTCAAGTTATTTTAAATAATTGTAATTAATTTAAGAGAAATAAAGTTAATTTTAAATAATTTTTATTTTAAAAAAGCTTAACAAGCTTTTATTTTCCATATTAAAACCATCTAAAATGTCGTTGCATTTTGGAAATACATTCAGTTGTTGAACTCGTGAGACACAAAAGTTTGACTTTATTACAAAGTCATTTGACGTTGTTGTTACTCGTGATTGTGGTAGCTGTTGCTACTGATATTGTTTTAAACAGCTTTTAAATTTAAGGAGCTAGTAACCAGTAAAATAGTTGTTTAATTACAATTCAATAGTTGCACTGTCAGGTTATTTGCCTGTCGTCGTCATTAAACTTCAACATTGGGGCTGTTGTTTCTATGTCTACTACTGCCATTAAGATTGATAATAAGTACTTAATTACTGTTGTGACCGTCACAATTGCTCTGCTGTTTGGTTAAAGTGATTCAACAACATTGTCATCTATCTATTTCAGAGGTAAGGAACATTTCTATTGATCAAAGAATAATTTATCACCACTGCACGCACTAAGTACAAACGACGACAAAGTTTTCGCTGCCCTCCAACAACAAACAACGACATCACCAACGATAACATCACCAACAACAACATCACCAACAACAACATCGAACGATGGGCTGCACATCGAGCAAACCAAAACGCACGAAAAGTTTAGAAGACGTGAAAGGACAAGCAGCGCAAAACGGTCAGATCACGAAAGAAGACACGTCAGCAAAGAAGCCAACAACCGACAAGAACTCAACGGACCCCATTCAAATTCCTGGAGCCAACAAATCCTTCCAGGCCCCAGACGGAATCCCCTTCATTGATGAAGACGTCGACGAAGATGACGCCAAGCTGAGGACAGGCGTTCGAGAAAACAGCAAAAAGCTGACGGACGACGTGAACATCAGGACAGAAAGCAGTGCCTTCATCGTCAACGGCAACAGTGGCGTGAGAGTCAGCGCGTCCAGTAGCGACAGAAATGCAGCGGGGGATGTCGGGGAGGTCGTGGTCAACGAGAAGGGGGTGCACGTTGTAGGGCATGATGGAAGTATCATGCCCATCAAGAAAGGTGATGATGATGAGGATAATGATGATGATGACGACGAAAAAGATAAATATTGCTGTTTACAGGCATGGGTTTGATGATAATAAGAATGATGATGATGATGATGATGATGATTTATTGCGTTTTGGATGACGACGATGGTGACGATGACGATGCTGTGATGGTGACAACGATGACATTTGAATAAATGATTGATTGTATGCCCCACACAGGACCTGCCCCATCGCCCATAACAGATGAACAGGTTGGGGTTTTCATTATTTCATTAGTAATAGTTTTCTACCTGTAATAATAGTTGGGTAGCAGTAGCTGTAGTAGTAGTAGCAATAATAACATCCTTGTTATTGTTATTTATTATTATTATTAGTAGTGGTAGTATTAGTAGTAGTAGTAGTAAAAGTGGTAGTAGTAGTGGTACCATTGGGAAAAGTTGTGGTAGTAGTGGCGATTCTTAATTAGATGGCAGTAGTAATATGAGTAATTATACAGCGTGGTAGCGATTATGTAGTTGCAGTAATTGGTAGTGGTGCCAGGCCTGGTGGTTTTTTAGGAGTAATTGTAGGATATCTTAATGCCAGTATTTTTACTTGATGTGTACTAGGTGAAGAACAGTAGTTTCGTATTTCATGGCTTGGTCTTTATATAGTGTTTCATTTTTTATTCAACCTTACAAAAAATTCACCATATCATTTTTGATTTGAAATGCACGAACTCGTATTAAATGTTTTGCACATGAGTACATACGCACATATACAAACGTGTATACGTACATACGTACGTACAGTTCAGTTACTCGCACATAGCACACACGCATGTTTACACTCACACTTAGACGCAAAAACGGAAAGATGTAGCCTACTTCATAATAGTGCACCTCGTGTGTTAAATTAAGGATTGCTGTGGTTGTAAACAACTAAACTTACAGATAGCTAACTAGCTTTTCATACTTGCTTTATATGGAAGCAGGCCTCTAATATATCTGAATTTTCTCCAGTATATACAGAATAAATAAATGTTAATAAATGCTAAATGTGCAACAATTTTTAACGAAATTTGCTTAAGCGAAAACCTCGTACCAAAATATGTATATACAGAATTATGCATGATTCATTCATAATTCAAATTCATTACTTTTGAATTTGATTAAATGTTTGAATTTTTTTTTTCTTCAATAATTCGATTTAAATTTATTAATTTATTTTTGAATTTTTTTTTTCTTCAATAATTCGATTTAAATTTATTAATCTCTTGACGTGACGTCAGGTAGGTAGGTAGGCAGGCATAAGTTATTGAAACACTGTTGTATCTGTTGTTGAACGTTCTGTAAAAGTTGAGTGGATGGTGATTCTAACTAAGATAGGTGCCTGCTAAGTATAAGGGGTATCTGCCCGAAGAATGTCCAGGTGCTTCAGTGATTGGTTGGAGTTACCTCAATCATCTAGTCATTTTGATGTTTTAATGTTTAATTGTTGTTGCGTTAAGTTGCATGTGCAAGTTGTTATGTTTTGTTGTATTGTATTATGTTATGTTATATCATGGTAATTAAATTAATAGAATTAATTGTTTGTATATATATATGTTAGTAATTATTTTCAGAAATGTGGCCGCAATTAATTCTTTGCTACATCAATTAGTTGCTTCGATACAAATTAATTATGTTGCATACTTCTGACCGATTGTTCAGTGTTCATGTGACATGTTCAATTATGGAAAGCTATATTAACTCACATAAGAATGTTTGATGCCTTGCAATTGCAACCAAATGTCAAATATTTGGATCGGTTATTGCTTAAAAACACACTTCATCAAGGATATTCTTGTACACACACACACACACACACACACACACACACACACACACACATATATATATATATATATATATATATATATATATATATATATATATATATATATATATATACACACACAAACACATATATAAACCATAACGAATGTACTGTTATAAACATATATACATATTCATATGTGTACATATATACGCACGCACACACACAAACACATACACATACAAACACACACACAAATGCCCCAGCAGCCGCTGAAACATTCCCGTGCCTCACAGGAGAAGGCAGCTGTAAAAATCCAGGCCGGCATCAGAGGATATCTCGACAGGAAGAGGGTCCACAACTTGAAGTCGGTCTTATTTATGATCTTCTGAATGACGGTGATGGTGATAGCTGTGAGGATGATGATGATGATGATGAGGGTGATTATCATGATGTTCACGGTGATTGTGATTATTACAGTGGCCCATGCAGAATTGAATGTTTGTAAAAATACTAAGGAGAGGTTGGGTAGGTTACGACAATAAGAATTTAATTCATGTTTTTTTTTATCACCGTTATCATTATTATTAACGTTATTATTATCATCACAAGTATCATTGTTATTAATAAAAAATGAGATGGCAACACAAAAATTAACAGCAAGCACACTTATGACATGGCAGTAATGCATTCATTGGTGATTATTCAACATGTGATAGACAACCAATCAAATCAGCACAACCAACCAACCAATCAATCAAATCAGCACAACCTAACAACCAATCAAATCAGCACAACCAACCAACCAGTCAAATCAGCACAACCAACCAATCAAATCAGCACAACCAACCAACCAGTCAAATCAGCACAACCTACCAGCTAGCTGACTAACACAAACATTCCAATAGTAAATGCCCCACCAACATTTTGCCCTATTAATTAATGTTACTTTTAAACAGGATGCTGATGCATTCTCAACAATGAATCATAAAAAATGTTTATCGGGGGGGGGGGGGGGGGAGATAGAAATGTTAGGTGATGCAAAATAGCAGAGAGAGAAAAGGAAAGAGAGAGAGGGAGAGCTTTTGTTTGGGTACTGTGCATTTTGCATTTTAAATATACAAAAAATTAATTTAATGAATCATGGCAAGTTATGCGTTATAAAATGTGAGATGTGAAGTACTCGTTACAGCGTACACGTGTGTGTGTGTGTGTGTGTGTGTGTGTGTGTGTGTGTGTGTGTGTGTGTGTGTGTGTGTGCGTGCACGTTTGTGTAGGTAGAGCTGATGTATGATGTTGTTGATGCAAGTTTGTATGCTTCTGCCTACATTTGCGTGTGTGTGTGTATAATATATGTGTTGATTTATTTAAACAGAAGACCTTGGCCGCAAATGCAACATATGTTATGTTTTGTTGTGTTTTGTTGTATCATGTTGCGTCTGTCCGCCTGTCTGTCTGTGATTTAATTCAATGTCTATAACATTGATGGCCATTTCTATGATGATGATGCAGATGATGGCTTGAATGATAAATACTAGTAGATAATAATGATTATTAATGATTGTTATTGGTGATGATGGTGATACATAATGTTCAGGATGATAATAGCAGCCAAAAATATAATTAGATCCATTTTGTATGTTGAATATTGTATGAACATCATACTAAAAGGTTTGATAGACATTCATCAAATCAAACGATGAAATTTTTTTATATTCTGCTTGGGTGCATGAGAACTTTGTTAGAATTTACTTGTCAATATTTGCATATCTGTCATTATTCAATCTTCATATTTCGAGTATTTTCATTTAATAAATTTTTAAATGAACCAATTTTTTTCCAGGAACAGCAGACTTGAAACTGAAGCTGCTTGTCTCGCCGCTGTAAGAAGTGTTTGTCGTTTGTGTGGTTGTTTGTATGGTCAGTGCTGATATTCGTAATTTGTATTGTCACAGTTGAAAATTGTTGATATAGACCGAAAAGTTGTTGGTATTTGTATTCTATGTTGCCATTAGAGTATTTCTGCTGTATTTCTGACATAAATTCATCTTTATTTCTGTATTTCTGTTTGAGTTTAACATCTTCATAACCGCTATCATCATCAGCTTAATCTTACTCACATCCATCGCCTCATCATCGTCTCAATCTTACAACTATCATCATTATCATAATCCTACTCACTAACGTCATCATCATGACGCACAGCCCCCACAAGTGATGCCTGAGCCAGTGGTTGTAGATGACCACCACCAACAGCAACAACAACACGAACCACAACAACACCATGAATTGAAATACGACGAGAACACAGCGGCCACAAAAATACAGGCCAACTTCAAAGGCTACAAAACAAGGAAACAGATGAGGACTGCCAGCAACGTACAGTAGCCTGGCACTACAATGCAACTATTTCTGTAAATAATAATAATAATCATGATAATTATAATGTAACGATAACTAGATGAATCTATTATACCATGGTTGTCGGTCGAATTTTGCTTTGCGTTATGAAATGTCATTATGAAGTGATGATGACGATGGTAATAGTGATGATGATGATGGTAAGAGTGATGATGATGATGATGGTAAGAGTGATGATGATGATGATGGTAATAGTGATGATAATGGTTATAGTGATGATGAATGCAATAATGGTCATGATAATGGTGAGATTTCATGATTGTGATGATGATGATGAAGATAACGAAATTGTGCTTTAAAATTGGATGTGTTGCAGATGATGATGATGATGATGGCCTCGAGGATCACAAATGCCGTGCATCTGTACAAAAATATTTCATTCTTTTATTTCTCCTTCTCCATCCATCAACTAATTGATCCACCCTCTTTCTTTCCATTTTGTCCAATTAAAATTTTTAAATTTGAACCAAGTCAGTTGAAACGTCAACTTGCCCATTAAAGGAGCACATCAATGATTATAACCAACTAAACAAAAAATAATAATGCTTCGTTGAATTTTATCCAGTGTTATTTTTGTTGGTTTTGAGCGAGTAACGTACAATGTATTGTATATATGACTTTTGTTTTTGTTGTTGTTGTCATCATCAACGACAACCAATTTACTGGTACTATATCATCATCGTTATTATTGTTGTTGTTATAATTATTATTACTATATTTATAACCACATACGTCTGAATTTGATTAATGGCATATTCGCTGATAGTTTCATGTATAACGGCTCTTTTTTTTGCTTCAATACGTTATTCCCGCTCAAAATTCCAAATTTATTTCGCCAGATTGTTTTGTAGGGATGTCAAAATGTAAGCTTTTTGACTGCATTGCATTTTCAAAATTAATTAATATTAATTAGCTTGTATTTACATTAATGAACGAGGCTTTTTAAATTTTTACATTTTACATACAATCTTATACACAGTCATCACTGATAAGTAATAAAATATTGATATTATCAATATATCGCCACCATCATCTTATCATTTCAATGCATATATTTTTTACTATTCACAGCAACGCCACAATAAACGTTCCTATGATTTCGAACTCTTTGTTTGATAACATCGTCTCGCTGTGTGGTTTCATCCTCTATTATAATACATTAGGGGTACGTACGTGCCTGTTACTTTACGTTGTTGCAGGTTCAATTTTTTAAAATTCTTTTTTACAACTGGGCTCTTTGGATAAGTCGTAAATGAAGTAATAATAAACTGCAACGTTCATCATATTACCACTACACAACTATTTTATAAGGTTACCATAAAATATCGTAGCTGCAACCACTTTTATTATTTCCCATACTACATTAATAAAGTAACATGTAACTGGAGTAACCTGTTACTCCAGTAACCTGTTACTGGAGTAACGTGTTGGTGTTGCCTCGGAATCATCAGACGATCAGTTAGTTAGTTATCTATCCTCTGCAGTGCCTCTATATAACGTCGATTTCATTTTTATATTTCAATTCATTCATTCGGCTATTCTTAAAATGTAATGACGATTTATTAATATTATGAGCTTTCACTAACTAACGTACAATATACATATATATAATATATATAATTTATACATTTGCATGTGCTGATTACAGTTGTTTTTTTTCAAACAAAGGCTATTGAGCATTTGGATAAAATTAGTTTAAATCAAGAATAAAATTGATATATATATATATATATATATATATATACACGTCAATCATCAACAATACATATTTTTTGAAACAACCTTGCTTTTGTGTGCTATATATATATATATATATATATATATATATATATATATATATATATAGCAGAACGTTTATATTTATTTGTACATGTGCTTACAATAATCAAGAAATTGATTTTTATTTAGATTGTTGATTTCAAACATTGATGTGTAATTGAATTTTTGTTTAAGCTCCACATCGGCAATGTATTTAGAGACATATAATTGATTATTGTTATTATTATTCATTTTAGTTTGTTTCAATTGAGTATTTTAGTTGAAAAATTTAATGGAAGCATTGATAAAACTATATTTTTCTATCATATAATTTTTTCAATATAATTTGGATTTATACATCATGATGAAACAAATAAAACACACTTAAAATTTTCAGAGTAAATTATTCAAATTAAATTATTTAGGTAAAATTTTCATTTATTTTGTTCAAAATAACTGTTTGGATTGCAATAAACCAAATTTTGGTGGAATTATCAACTGGTTATTTGTAAAAAACTACGTTGGTCAGAAGTTGAAATGAAATAAAAAAGTTTTGTCCTAAATAAGTCAACAGTTGAATTGAACTGTTAGGTCTGTTTGTGCTTGACCAGTCCCTTGCTGATGAGGTCTGGAATTTCAACCGCCAGCCATGGTCCCAGCTTCAAAATATTATGGTCATTTACTTGTTATAATAATATTCATCACTTAATTTCGGATCGTTTATACAGAAATTTTTTAATTTTATATCTCTTTCATTTATTTAATTAGGTTTTAAATTATTAATTCATTCACATTAAATGCATACTGAACAATTATAATCCAATACTTTAATTGCCTAATTTAATATATTTGAGAAATTACTAAGATAATCAATACTGTTTAACCAAATAATGTCATAATTATTATTAATACAGTTCTAATAAACTACTTATTCTTGCTTATTAATCAACAACACATATCTAATTAATAATACAAATAAATCAATTATAAAATTAATTACCCCAAGTGCCATGGCATGGCCGATTCCAAACTTGGGAACGTTTCGAGCCCACAGTGGTTTGAAGTGCTCAGTCAGACATATTTTGCCACCTCTGTTTTAAAACACACAATTTAAATGAGTCATCAATTAATGAATTGATCTCATGTGATGAAACTTAAATCTGATAATTCAAATGAATTTAAATGAATCAAATACAAGTTGGTGACTACTTGAAAAATGTACAAAAACTAACATTTACAAATGCATTCAACTACCTGTACATTTTAGCTGTTTTGCCATCTAACTCAGGAATGGCAATTTCTGGAGCAATGGTTGGATAGAGGACAGGAATCTTTGTTATAAAAGATTTATGGTAGGTAATTTATCAAATGTAAAATAATTTTGGTGAGCGTACATTTAACCAATTAATGATTAGATCTCAAAATAAATTGTTTAAACTGAACACATTCAATGCATCATAAGAATTGTTAAATATGCATTGCTTCAGTGACGGATTTAAGGGGGCGGGGAGTGCCCCTAATGTGAACGTTGTTCATGTTAAAAGTTAGTAAAAGTCATTGATTTCATGAAAAAAGTGGTGTTTTTGGAGGAAAAATTTATGTGAACACTTTGACCACATTATTACCCCATTGAAAATTTAAACATATATTAAAAAATTGATTTGAAAACCCCGGCTATCAACAACTCTTATTAGAAATTTCCCCTGGTCATCAGAAAATTGAAAATTCTCCCCTGATCGTCAAACTTTTAAAAAAATCATGTCCTTTCAAAGTTGCCTAGATCCATCACTGCACTGCTTCAACCAACATTGAAACCAATGAAAAGAATAGTAAATTTAAATGAAATTTTTTCATAAAATCTCACATCAAATTCAATGTCGAATTCATATTTGAGCAGTTCATGAATGTACCAGCACTTTCCAAACCAACGAGTGCCTTCCTTGTTCGACTCCAATCGAAACCAATCATTATCCGCTGTTTTGTTGTTTTGAACATACTTTGAATTTTGGTGTAAGAATTAAATAACGTTAGAATTAAGATATTAGAATAAATTAATAAAACATTGGATTAATTAACAATAACAATACAAAAATTAAATTACATAAGATATCAGACCAAGAATAAAAGAAATAGACTGAATGTTAAACAATTTTATAATGTAAAAATAAAACACATAATGGACTCTATTTGCAATGGCACTTCCCAGTAAATGTGGCAGTAAAGTGGCACTTCTTGCAGTATGAAATCAATTTTCTGAGGGCAAGCATTCCTTTTCATAGGATTTTGATTATGCCAAAGCAGTGCTTACAAGCAGCTCACCACTCTTTTTGTCAAAAACATTAAAAAACTCAATTGCATTCTGTTTGTATTTGGTTATTTACTTAACATTTTGATTGATTTTACTGATTTTGTATATTATTCCTTCATTGTATGACAAATGAATACGAAGTAAAATTAATGTTATTACTGAAATGAGAAAAAATAAATTGAATCAATTAATACAGATCTTATATCAGATAATATAATCATATAGATAGATTGGGGTAAAATAATGACATGAAAACTAAAATTAAAAGAAACTCATCTTTATCATTCTGGAACTTATTTAATAAATGAAAAAATTCATAGATACAAGAGAAGCTAAACTGTTGAAAATAGAAAGTTCAAGATTCAAGAAAATAAATATTTTATTTCATTTAATTAAATTTAATTAATTTGAACACAAAATTTTCAACAATAGAAAATTTAATTTAATTTAATCAATTTATTTAGTTTAGAGTTTAGTTTTTAGTAGGTAGTCAGTTTAGAATCAAGTCTCTAAATCTAGAACTTTAGTTGAAAAGTTTATTTTTAGTCTATCCAGTCATTTCCTCATTTATTTTAATTAATTATTATTATATAAATAAATTAATAATTTATTTAATTTTATCAATTAAATTAGTAATTAGTTATGATGATATTGATACATCGTAAAAGTATAAAGTGTTTTTCTTAAACTATAACAATTTAATAAGTAAATTTTATTCCTAGACATTCATTATGGGATCATACAATATAATTTTTTGTAGGCTTACGTTCATTTCAATTTTTCAATGTACTGTATTTCATTGTAACTGTGATCCGTCTGGCCATCATCATAAAAAAGACATTCACGTTAAAACAAATTAATAAATTATTTTTATTAACTTTGATGAGAGCTTGGTATTCTTCCTTCAACCTCTGCACCCACAGTTCGCCATCTTTGGGACCAGCCCTCGTCTGTAGCAGGGGAATTGATGACAGCTGCTTTCGTGTTGCTTCGTCAACCATCTTGTGTACGTTGAAAAGCGAACTCCAATATTTTATCAGCGATGAGCCCAACTTAACATTAATATTTATTTATTTAAGAGAAACGGCTTGGGCGAACCCCTTGCCGACAGTTAAAATGATCGTAGTATCGAATAATTCAGAATCATCATAATAAAGTTCAAACTTAATCGATAATGTCCTAATCTAGTGAAAAACGTTCAAATTAAATTAATAACAAGACATTCGAATAAGCATAAAATTTCAAGTCTGTGAAAAATTATACAAAATTTTTATAAATTAAATTTATCAACGATCTATTTAACAAATGTTCTTCACCATGACTTACGCTTTTAAATTTTAATTGAAACCAGAGTCAACAATATTTCTATCAAAAATTGAAAATATCTAAAACAACCTCACAAAAACCAATATTACATAATTCGACGATGCAAAATTTGAAAGTTAAGTAACCAATGTAACAAAATCTGAAAAATCATAATTTATGCATGTTAAATTTGTTAACAACACTAATATTGTCCAAAATAATGCCATCAACATCGTTATCTATCAACGTTTTAATTGTTTCAACGTCGTTATTATCATCGCCCCAAGTGAAGATGTGCAAGTTCTTTTCATGAGCCATTTTTATGCATGCAAGATTGGATAGTATGTGCTTCGTATGAGGAACAACACCATAGAGACTTTCAGACACTGCAAAACTAATGGCTTTATCAACTGTGAGAGTTCTTTCATCTTTGAAATCACTATAAATTCCAGTACCCTGTGTTAGGAACATGACAGGAAAGGAAGATTGTTTAGCTTTCAACATACAGCAGATATCTGGATCAAATGATGAAAACATAATTTTCCTAGACTTAACATTTTTGAATGAAACCTCAAGAATGGAATTGACAAAGATGTTTCTTTCTTCAACATAGCACAAGTCATCTTCTAAGCTTCCAGTTTTCATTTTCATGCAATATTTGATTTCTATGTTGAAAATCATGTCCTCTGGAAGAAATTGAAAAACACTTTCAAGTTTAGGAAAGAGATTGCCAAGTTTATAAAGAGATGGATCCTTAGTTGCATCTGGATCATTGCAAAGTTGAAAATCATATTTTGACAAATCTGAATATGACAAATTTTGCAACGGCAATCGAAGTTTTTCTACGATGTTGGAATTTGATTCAGCTGTCACTCGAATGCACGTTGTGTAATCATGATAAACAATTGGGATGTTTTCCTTTGTGAGAACAACATCAAATTCAATTATTCTTATCCCTTTATCATATGCATTTTTAAATGAATCCAATGTATTTTCAAGGATGTTATTAACTTTTTTGCCATTGTAGAATGTTCTTCCAGAACCCCTGTGACCAATGAAGAGTGGTTTTTTTAAACCAAAGTAATTAATCTTTGAGTTGAGCAACTTTAAGATGCTACAATTGTTGCTTGAATTAGGTAGAGGTTCAATGCATAAATATCTTATAGGCCATGTTCCAATGCAGTGGCCTACCAATGATATAACAGAGGCATCTATGAATCCAATCTTGTCATGACCTGGATTTATAAAAACAACTCCAACAATCTCATGAGAGTTTTCATTCATCACATTAAATAATTTTATCTTGCTTATTAAAGTCAAACGAAATATAGGTTTTCTGTTTTTCACACGGATTGACATTACAGAATAATCTTTATAACTGAGCAATGTACCATATTTGGGTTGATTGGTAAGAGCATCTTGGAGTCCATTCAATATTGTGACCACTATGTTGCTTGGAGATGTGATCTCCCCAACATCGTTGTCTGTGTTGACAACATCACATCTTACAAAACATTCTGCAAAATTATCTTTCTGGTTAAATGAAACAGGTGGGGATATGAATTTTAATTTAAATTCATACTCCTTGTTGAGGCAGTTCTTATCGATCAGATACCTTTCACCGTCAAATCCAAACTCATCAAAAATTATTTTTTCTTTCTTTATGGTCCTGATAAAACTTTCATATGTAAACACATCATTATGTACGGAATGATTGGTTGCAGTTGTTGAGTTTTGTTCAACATTGTTGGCCAGAAAATATCTGTACTCAATTTCTGAATTGCTGGCATTAGTGCTGTCATCTGGGTCGGACACTACCAAATTATAACTCCACAACTCTTTGTCGCCATCTATTGTACGCTGCTCATTAACCATCGGCAACGCATTTTCCAAGACCCAGCTGCCTAACTGGGGGATGTTTCCTATTATAAACGGGGTTAAGTTCAATTCGTTGAAAATTTTCAGTTGAAATTTAACTTTTCTCATTTTTAAAGAACCATATGAGCAATTGAATAAAAAGTTACGTTTGTATTTCACTTTATTAAAAACATTTCGAAACTTTACAAAACTCGGCAACAACATCTGCTGTTTTCATTGTTTTTAGAAAAAGTTAAAAGTGAAAAAGTTGTCAAATGACAACCGAAGAACACTGAACCACTGTATGCATAGAATAAATAAGTTACAATTTTTTACTATGTAAGAAAATGTTGATATATTATTAAATATTAGAGAAATAAGAAAAAAGTCAACTCATCATATCGCATATTTCAACATGCAACACATCTTCAAACCAATTTGTTGAATCCATCTGAATCCATAGCCCAGTTGAAAGCTGAAAGTATAGTTTGACAGCAAACTTGTAACAAGGAAGTGTGCTATGTTTGGTTTTGGTGATTTCCACTTTACGTACAACAAATTATGTCACTTACACGTCACAACATACATACTGACATCACAACAAATCACATCACATCAGCACATCATAACAAACTACATCACATACATAACTTCATAACATCACAAAAAATCACATCTCAACAAACTACATCACAACAAATCACATCACAACAAATCACATCACAACAAATTACAAAGCAACAGATCACTTCTCAACACAAATCACCAGTATTGTATAAAGCACTTACTTTCAGCACTTAAATAACTTACGTAAAAAATAACAACTTTTTAAAAGTATAAGTACATTCGAGCTATCAAAAGTCAAATTTATTGCTTCATAACACATTTACAATAAATCGAAGGCAATTCATTTAATGGAACGTTTTGGAAGCCTTGAACATAAATGTTTAAGATGTTAATACTAATGTCAACATCATTTCTTTCTTACCAACATTAGCACGGCTCACCAGACAACTTACATGCATTCATAACTTTACCAGTGGCACGTTCTTCTTGTTGAATTTTAACATTACCAAGTTTTTAAATAATTTAATTACATTAAAACACAGGAAAACATATCACATCTTGGCATCAAAACGAATAACATCAAAACAGTACATCTCATCACAAACAAACAATCCCATCACAGCATCAAAACAAACCTCATCACAATATCGCATCACAACACATCACATTAAAATGCACCACTTCATGTCACTTGAGACCTCAAAAAGATGAATGACATCAAAATTTTAATTAATGAGGTCGTTTAAGACAAAACAGTTCAACATGTGAACATGGGACTATATGTACTTCCCATATTATCGGTCATACAAGTAACAATGTGTATTTGTTGTACATAAACACGAATATAAAATACAAAAGTATCTGTCGCGATTGCACCACCTATAAATTATATCTTTCGTCAATATCTGCATTCTACACTTTAAGACGCACGCACACGCGCACACACACACACACACACGCACACACACACTACAAAACAAACATGCAAACATAAGTATTCTTACAATATTTATACGCATTTATAAACATTTACATCTTCATACACACATGCAAACATGCAAACTTACATACAAACACACACATATACAAAAACAAACAAACAAACATAAATATACATTTCCACATCACATACACAACACAGTCGGTTTGATCTTCAAAGTTGGAGACATGATGAATCTTAGTGGTCCATGATTAGGCCAAAGCATTCGTTAGTAGAATTTATAGAATATTGTAAAAATTATGGTCTATTACCAACATATATATATATATATATATAAGAATGTGTGGCATATATTTGTATGTGTCATATGTGGGTCTGTATATATGTGTGTGAATGCAAATATGTATATGTATATGTATGTGTGTGTTGTGTGTGTGTGAATGCAAATATGTATATGTATGTGTGTGTCGTGTGTGTTGTGTATATTTATGAACGTATGTGTGTATTTATTTATGTACGTTGAAAAGTGGAACGTGGAACCTTATAATTATAAGTTCCATTCATTTAAATAAATGTCTTATTAATATATCCAAACTAGTATTTCATCCAATATGCACTTTCTTTCGTTATAAATTTATTCATTCACTCATCCACCTATCCGTTCATTCACCCATCCACATATCTGTTTATTCTTCGATCTATCCAATTATTCAACCATCTTCTACCCCTCATTAAGTTCACCCACCCTTGTAAGGTAGACTGATTGATATCCAAATCAATGGGCGCAATCAACAGAGTAAAATTTTTCCTACCGAGACGTACAGCATTGAGACTTCTGCCCAGCCCAGTTCAATTTATCTCCCTCGACTACGCTACGGCAACATCATCCGCCTGTACATCTGCACATCCATCCTAGACACAACTGTTACAACTGCCGATGAAGGAAGCCATGAGGAGGACCATCATCTGCTCGAATCTAATGCTCCACCGAAAATGCTTTCAACTTGCAACCATTTCTTTTAAACATTACGTTGGATTGTTACCGACAATTTTTCTAATTTTGTTTTAATTTTGACTTGAGTGGCAGACGCAAAAGCATACACTGTGATAAATCTAAAACGAATATCTTATTTTTACACATTTACACGTTTTGGGCAATGAACCGCGGATTCGTGTGTTTTAATTATTAAAGTTTTATCAACATCTAAAAGCCAATTGAAGAACATTTTACTGAACCACAATTAATTTTTTAATTTTTCAAGGATAATCTGCAAAAGTTCCTGTTTCTTTTATTTCTTTTAACTAAATTACTTTCTGTTACAATTTTGCAAGGTGGCCACTCTTAAAAAGTTAGTCGATAGTATGAACGTTTTCCTCCGGTCTTTTAATTTTGTTTGATAGCGAATAAAATATCGGGACATATCAACCATTCATTCCATTAACCAAATTGAGGTGACAGCTAGCATTAATTCGAAAATATTTTTATCGTATTGTGTTTGGTCAGATCATCACTGCATCACATTTCATTACATAACATCACATCATATCTCACCTCATCTCACCTCAAACACAAAACTTTTCCTCATATCAAATAAGCAAGTCCTTGCAAACAGCTTCGCATAGGTACATCACACTGTTGTTTCATCTCATCATCGTAACAGACGGATGAAGGTTTACGTTAAATGATCGAATCATTCAACAGAAAACTGCTACTCATATATTATAGGTGACATGTTTTATTGGACTGGAGTGCACGAGTAGGTAGAACCAACACCTGGAAAGATTCTCCACTACCCACAACACGTCATCACATGTTTTCTGCCGTACAGACAAGCCATCATTCAGACATCAACAATCAATCATTCAATCAATTATTCTGATAGCTATAAAAAAAAAACGTCATCAACAACAACTCCACCAACAGGCATTTAAAAAAAACAGACCATTATCATCAGACCTGTGAAAGTCATTTTCAATGATTCAACTTTCAATAAAGACAAACAAATGAATATATGGGTGTGATGGATGTTCGCACAGCTTTTGATATTGTATATAGCCATGCTGGAAATATTGGAAGGATGAAAAATAAGATGATCAACAGTCGGAGTTAGCGGTGAGTATAAATGTTAATAAATGATGATATAGCGGTTATGACGACGACGAATGGTAATTTTTTGGATGTCCATGATGAGAATAATTCTGACAGAGGCAATTGTGTCAACGAATAAAACTTTAAAAAACAAATGCGCCACACGCAAATATCAGCCAATAACGTAGAACCATCATTACAGCGTCATCATCGCCGTCACCATCAAATCTCATGAGTCTGTATCATCATAACATTCATCTCCTCCTCATCCACACCAACCACATACACGTCACATCCATCATACGCTAACATCTTATTTATATACGATCATCCTTTTATGTTCAAATAATGTGTACATGTCTGTGTGCATGTTTGTAGATATATATGTAGTGTAAGTCCGTATATGTACGCATACGTTTGTATATGTGCGTGTGCCTTAGTGTTTGTGTGCATGTGTATGTCTTGCATCGCACATTTATTAATACAGTGCAGATTGGGGTTTCCAGAATGAACATATCACTTATCGTTCCAATCTTTGTGTTACAAAGGATTATTAAAAACGCCTGCACGCTACGTACAAATAGATGATGAGAAGCTACTTAAATACCTTTAGTAACTACAACATCCATCTTATTAAATGTGTACACAAATGCACACTGCATACACACGTGCATACAACATGCATACAACATGCATACAATATGCAATGCACACGCGTACGTAATAAATACACATATAATTATCTTGCATATGCATGAATGTGTATACAGGCCGTTTATGAAACTACCGAAATACTGCGGGATATATGGTTATATATACGTATATATATTATATATATATATATATTATACGTATTTATAAATATATACGCCCAACAAATTTTTAGGGCAATATATATAATATATAAAATATTTATATATATATACACACATATCAAACTATATATATATATATATATATATATATATATATATAGCTGGATAGTACAATTCAAACCTAATAAATATCATCCTTCATAAACAAACACAACCCATTCATTTTTCATCAGAGCTGAACCTTCATTCAAACCAACACCCACCATCCACATTCAAACGTTCCAACCGACACATCCAACCGACACATCCACACACATACATCGTTAGTACTCCAACCAGTGACAGCTCTGTAATTTAGAGAAGTCAGTCATTTTAATTGACGATTTCAAGTTGTGATACATTTTCAATACTGTCCGAATTCTTCATGATTTTTTCTTGCATTTTTTCAGGAAAAAGAACAGAAATAATGAACAGAGTGAAATGTTACTTGCACAGATTCACCAGCAGTGGAAAGCGTAGAAAAGATAGTTGGTGTTCTATTTCTTTGTTTCTTATGTTTAATAAAAAAAAATAAAAATAAAAAATGTATATATGAAGTGTAGGATATAACTAACGAAATAATATTTACATTGTGCTTATAGTAAAGAATATTTAATAATTATATTTATGAATAATAAATCCACAATTTAAAATTATTGAAGTCTGGATTTACAACAGTACAATTTTAAAAATAGACATTCACCACCACCATTATTTGATAATTTATTTGTGACATTAATGTTTTATCATTAGGTACATTTTGAATCATAACTTATACATATTTATAAATATAAATTAATTATATCTTCAATATATATATATATATATATATATATATATATATATATATATATATTATATATTATATATATTCATTGTTTTAAAAACGAGGCTGCAATTCTTTCAAAGTTGTGCCAACGTAGAAACAATTCCAGAAGTGATTATTTTACATAATGTGTTGATATCATCAACAATATTGTTAAAGTTATTGAAAATATCTAGTCAACTTTGACGGGAGGTCAAAGACTGGAGAAATACTTGGCCACCTTCCTTTTTTGCTTAGCGCGTGCTTGATTTAACGTACGAAACGCAATTAGACAGTTAATGCCGGCTAAATTTTCAAGAAAATTCAATAAAACTTCGTTATAACGTACGTCTATGAACCGGTCAAATTGGTACACTATATCCGTCAGAGGTTCGTTTTAACCAACACAAAATATTTTGGACTTTAACAGCAAAAAACTTTTTGCTAACTAATTTATTCAAAAGTTTGCTATATTTGCAAATAAAAGAATAATAAAGTTTATAAGTATTAGAGTTGACATATAAGAATACGATAAATGAATATAATGTGGTTTAATATAAACGGATTGAACGAATTTTTTTTATTGAAAGTTCGTTATATTTGTGTACGTTTAACCTCCAAAAAAAGCATGCAAAATGTTGGGACTTTCGTACTTTATATCCGCGTGTACTTTATAACGAAGTCCATAATAATGAAGTTTTACTATATATTCGCTTTTTTACAGTTGATTTAATAACAGATAATATCTGAATAGAACTGAACTCACTGACAATCTCAACACAACTACACAACCAGGTAATAAGAAGAAGCACCCCCAAACGTCCATCTCTCTTGATCCAACTTTACTGGACAACAACAACAATAACAGTAATCATTACAACAACAACCCTGACAACAACGACGACGACAACAACAACCAAGTTGATGACAACCTGAGAGGCAGTCACCTCAGAGTTTGTCACTCGTTGGATCCTTCCACGCTGTCTGACTGTCATGAGAACTGCAAGTTATTGAAAAGTATTGAGGCTCAAGTGGATTGCGCATTAGCTCATGAATCGAACAGGGGTAATTAATAAGCGTCATATACTTATAATACCTATATTGGCCTCATTCTTTAGTTTCCGTGAACAATAAAACTCACAAAGTTTTATAATTTTTACATTTTTATAGTTCATTAATAAATAATTATTCATTTTTCAAAAATTTATTCATTTCAATTATTTTATAGTTGATTTATTCCATGCATCTGCATAATATTTATGCATATTTAGTATCTTTTTCTGATGTACGTTCTGGCATCTCCCTAATTTGCCTTTGATCTTTTTTCAGATTTTCTTAACTTTCGTTGTTTTGATTTGAATTGTTTTTTTTATTTTCCTTACAAGCTATCATTTATTTTCTGATTTGTTTTTTTCAAATAGTTTAATCAATAAAATTTTTAAATTTTTTCAAACCACTGATAAAACAGAGGAACGAAACAACGAATTCATCAATGAAACAACAACCGCGATTCCACTTGGCAACAAAAATATTACAACCAAAACAACAGCAGAAGCAACAATAACAACAACAAAAGCAGCTACAACAGCAACAACTACAACATTTTCAGATAAAATCAATATAAGCAAAAAAATTTGTGACGAAAATGTCGACATCAAAAATGTCGATCTTGATCAATTGACAGAAGCTGATTATTACAATGAAATTGAGGTTGTGGAACACGTGCCTATGAAACCTGATGAACTAGGTTCCAAACCTGATGAACTAGGTTCCAAACCTGATGAACTAGGTTCCAAACCTGATGAACTAGGTTCCAAACTTGATGAACTAGGTTCCAAACTTGATGAACCAAAAACAATTTTGATCGACTTCAAACAATTAGTAACAACTTTTGTCCCAGCGACAGAATGCAGTGAGGTAACAGATGGATACATACACTTGAACACATGTTCCAGTGGAAAACTTGCAAACAACACAAATATAAACAACGATAGCAACAAAAATTATTATAATTTCGATGACCAATCAAACAACTACCTTAAGGTCGCCAGCGAGAACCTTTCGACTTCCGACACGCAGGCTGCAACGGCACTCCAGCCACAGTTGGACACTCTGTCCAGTTGCACGCTGCTTAACACTGTCCCTCCCATTCCCAATCATCATCACAATCACCAGAACACAAAAATCATCAAACAACACTTACCACCTCTACCCTTACCAGCAAAAAATAAAACTACCAACACGAATTTTGAAAACTTAATGACGTCGCGATACATTTTGCATGGTTCCCTGAAAATGTCGAGCACCAAAGGAAAGAGATCAATTGAACATCTGCATCCCATCAGGAATTCGTGCAACAACATTTCTTACAACATGTCATCGCCCGGTGACTCCAGGAAGATTTCCTCAAATAATTCCCCGCACAAAAAAACGAATTGTGTCAACGTCGTTGAAGATGCTGGCGTCCAGCAGTTTCTTAACAACGACAACTTCACGACCAACATTGGAGAAGATCGTACATTTGAAAACCATGCAGCTGAAAAGCCCATGATTGATATCTATGCGGATTCGTACTACGAAAACTTGACCAACAAATCCTCGGTCAACAACTCATCATCGTCAGCCAACAAACCGGAATATTACAACTATTTAAAAAGTCCTTCTACCCATCAAGATAACTGCGGCTACAACTGTGGAGACGATTGTTGTTATGATGGGGAGGCTGCAAACAACCCCACCAACTTCAGCAATCACCACCTGACACAACATCTTCTCAAAAAATCCGTCCCAGTACCGCGCTCCCTACGCCACAAGTACCATTCCTATGCTAATGAAGTTAAGAGACCAAGTAGTGCACATAAAAATGTGTGTGTTGGTGATGACGATGGTGGTGGTGATGGTGGAGGTGTTATGTGTTGTTGTTGTTGTTAACGATGATGATGATGATGACGATGATGATAATGATGATGTATATGATGATGTATATAATGATGATGATGATAATGATGATGCATATGATGATGATGGCAGCCCTAAAACAATTTTATACTTTACAGCCACAACTGCAGAAAGCGGCCACAGTGACAGGCAACTACAACGACTTTTGCTACTCTGACGACAATTTCGAAAGTATTTCATTACTTTTTTTTCCACTATCATTATTGCAATAATGGTGATTGTTTGTAGCAACTATAATGTATAAATTATCATTATTTTTATTAGTAGTAGTAGTAGTAGGCTAGTAGTTGTTGTTGTTGTAGTGGTGGTGGTAGTGCTTTTGGGACTTTGGTTTTATTCCAAACAATTTCACAAATTTCTAAAGACGTCTCCAGTAAAATTCTGAATAAATTCCCACAAAATATAAAATGAACAGTGAAATTGATACTGATGATAAATTAATAATGATGGTCTCAATTTATCGACGGTCGATCGTTTTCTGGAGTTTAAAATGAAAAATATTTGAGTAAAAAGCAAAAGTGACGCTGAATTGAAAACCGTTTAATAAAATGGAGAATATATAGATGGTGGTATCAGTATTTGCATGCTAAAAATGCGTCTAACGGTGACTAACTATATACCGTTTGATTAATCGTGTTGTTATTGATACAATGTCTTTGACGTGATAAACTGTTTCAGTGATGTAGAATGTTGCTTCGTAAACATTTCATTGTTGAGTTAAGAAACATGAACTCTCGTACGTCTGCGCTCTCTTCAAGGGCATCAAAGTTCATTATGGCCGTGTGAACATTCTATTAAAAGTGCAGCTCTACTCATTGGAGACTTCATCTACTTGAATTATTTTTCATTTAATGAAAATTTTATTTCTTGTTTCAATAACTATTTCGTTGGTTTTCCATTATTCATTTGTCAGCTTGATGAATCATGAATATGTTGTAGGGATTGCCTTTGACTCACTCAGCAACCCGAAGTTATCGTAGACTCATTTGGTCAAGTTTTTTAGGTTTTTTTTGCTGACCACTGAATTGTCCACCACGAACTGAACTTTTGAAAATGCTCCTCTTTGAATGATGACGAAACAAAATAATTTCTTAGCTGAATGGGGCAAGCCAGACTTGAAGAGTAATTAACAGCTGCAAGACTAATTAATTACATAATTACGCTGTTCATAATTTATCTATTTACGTTGTACTTCTAATATTCACTGAGATGAGACAACTAACTCTAATGGATACATTCGTGTAGTACACCGAGTACTTTTAATACAACATTCATGGAGTACACTGATGTACGGCTACTAACTATTGGCAGTTTGGCTGTTCAGTGCGCGCAAACTTTTCCTGCAATAAATAGTTACAGCCATGTATGAGGTCATCAAAATTTATTTCTTATTAAGCTGGGGTTCTGTATTAAGCTAATGGATAAACTAATTAAAAAATGCAATTGAAGTTAAATATTATTTCACAAAAAACTTGAAAATAAACGGAGCACTGATGAACATAATGGTCTAATAAAATAATAAAACTAATGAATGTTTCAATGGTTCAGCAGCAACAACAAACACAACAACAATTAGTAGACAGTGTACAAGTGGAAAATTACGGTATAAAAACAACAACAACAATAATAGATAACCATAACACCAACAACATAAAGAAGAACCACAACAAATAATTAGGTCTGATCAGGATATTAATTAGGAGACTTCTTAGAAGGGCTTGTTATAATTAGAAGTGCAGCCGATATCATTATCGATCGCAACAACGTTAGCATTTAATAAAAGTTACACTGTGTCATAATCATAAGAAAGAATTTTGTGACATAATTGTTACAGAGATGATTACCAACAATTCTAGAATTTTTTTGTAAAAAATAACATTACAGTAGTTGTAAGTAATTTTAAAATAATAATTGTAAAAATAATAGGATTAAATTGAAAAAACAACAAAAAGCATAAACAAATGAATGACCTTCTGAATAACAAATAATTAATTGGAATGTGTAAAACTTTAAACCCTAGACCGAAATTAATATTTTTGTAAACTTCGACGGTCGTCACCACAGACACCTGTGATATAGCATCAATGATCTATTTCCAACACCAGTGTCCAACGATCGTCAACTTATCGCTTTTCTGTAGGTTCAAGATTTCCGACAGATGAACACAACTGCTTCAAACGAAAACTTGGCTGAACGTTTATTCGAATGTTAACAGTAATAGAAACACTAAACCAATCCAAGGAACTACATCAGTCACATTTACGACTTCTTTTCAAACTCCCTTGCTAAAACCCCGCGATTCCCTCGCTAATATACCATACCAGATATTCTCACAATCCAAAGATTACAATTATAGCAAAGATAATAGTAATTAATAGAAATTAATCATAATTAATGAAATTAATAATTGACAGCGCAATTTGACCATTTTCGCGGTTATAACAATGTTATTCATCGGATATTTGAAATACCTTCGTGACCAGTTATTTTATATGTATCATCTTATAAATCTTATCTTATATATTAATCATCACATAACTAGAATCTTTTATAGTTTATTATAAAGAACGCATGCACACATATACACACACACACACACTTATTATTAAACAGATACTCTTGAATTAAGAAAGACTACGAATGATGTACGAGCAAACAAACTATCACAACTTTCAGTCGTTTCAACGACGCAATTTTAAAAAAATATTGACCTCTTGTAGAAAGCAATCAATTAAGACTTACTCACATCATAATTGCAGTCTCTACATTCAGTCATTAAACAAACACGTAGAAAACTATTAATGCGTGAATTTTGTAGAGAACCTACTTGCGTACTTCCTGATCAGGCATGGAAATTTTACACACAAAAAAATCAACAAACAACGCAACAAAACCTTTTTTTTAATTTAAATAAATGATATTTATAATGATCCCGGCTACTTGTTTTACCTTTTTGTATTTTTTTTTGTTTAGAAGTTTTTTTTCTTTCCATGTTTCATAGGGGGAGCAGACCCACCCATACCATCACGGAGACCTCAGACGTCTGCCGTCATCGACAACTACAAGTGGGAAATTATTTTTTATTTATCTATATGCCATTTTCTTTTTTCATCCACTCGTTTGTACTTTGTTTATTCGTTCTTTTGCTTACCTGTTCGTTTGTAAAGCCTCATCTATCAAGCATATTATTCATTTATTCTTTTCTTCTTACTCCATGGTTCTTCCTAATGACATCATCTTCGTCACCACTTTCGTCTGCAACATCACTTTCGTCACCAGCATCGTCGTCACCATCACATACATCACCATCACCTTCATGGTAAACATCATCAACATCCCACCCACCCAGCTGTTGTGATCAGAAGCCCATGTTGGCACCCCGCGTCGTAAGGAGCAGCAGGGAGCCCACCACCTTCAATCATCTTTCGGACCTTCGACCAGATGAATATTTCATCAAGGTTAGCCAACAAAGTATTTTCTCTCGACATTAACTCCCCAACCACTTTCACTTATATCATCAACCATCTCGCTAATATTTTTCTCACTTTGTTAATTCACTCGCAACAATCAATTGTTCACCCACATCTCACTAATCAGGAGAAAGTAAGTTACCTGCAGCTGGATTTGAACCCATGTACGGAGACGCAACGATCCTTGCTGTGCAGCACCGCAAGCCATCATGGCAACCTTGGTGACGTCATTCAATCAAGATCGAAGCATGAGTGCGCAATGAACTACAAGGAAATTGATTGGCTAAAAACGAAAGCCTTGCTGGAGACGAGGAATGGCAGGTCGAAGGAGAGCACAGTATCCGTCATTTAAATTATTTCTCCACAGATGTCACCGAACTCGTTCCCTTGTTAGGTGTACGTTCTTTTGAATGGGGCAGGGCAGGCAGATATAAGAAAGCAGATAATTGTTTAATCACTTGAATTACTTATCAACGCGACAAATTTTCTTTCTAAAAGGATTGAAAAAAGACGAAGATGGACTTGCCCGACATGACCAACAATGAATGCTTACAGACAGACTACTAGAATTATATATAATCGCACTTAACTTGCGAGCGACTGATGAATTATTTTAAAATTTCACCGCACCTAAACCTTTTTACGTTTAACCGATTCCAGGTTATGGTGGCAGGGTTCAGTTGAAGTGAATTTTAAATTAGAATTGAACGTCTTCGACTTCGTACGGTCAAGAGGAATTACTTTGACTTTTCAGCTCAACGAAATAAGACATCAACACATATAATTTATTTAATGAATACGATAAATAACGTTTGCTATTGCACAATTACTGTAGGTAACTGAAGCACGTGATTTGATGCTATTTAAAAAAATCATGAATTAATTAAATTGTTTGGTCGACAATTTTCCATATCTGTTTATCAGAGAACTATTGTAATCATGGATATATATATATTATATATATCCATGATTGTAATTGTAAATAAGACAATTTACTTAATTTTTTTCTCACGCGCGCACGCACACACACACAAACACACACATATATATATTTGTTCAATATTATATATATATATATATATATATATATATATATATATGCTGTATATTTTATACAGCATTGTATGAATTCTATCGAATTGTTGGCATTAATCAATTTAAAGTTTGTCTCTTCAATTTTATTTACTAAAATTTTTTGGATGTTGTTCAATTTATTGAGAACAGAATTATTATCCAAGTTCATCATGGGAGTTTGTCGAAACAAATAGATGCTACCATCAAATATGAACTCAACCAAGCTCAAGACAAAAGACTCAATACTGATAAATACACCTCAAGGCTTAAATTTCATAAAAAGTTGATAACAATTTTCATGATGGACTTGGATAATGATTTTATCAATAAATTGATTAATTTCCAGAAAATTTTAGATCGATTAATGCCAACAATTCACTAGAATGCTTACAATACTGTACATCTTCATCACTATGTAACCAATATCGACAAGTTGATTTAGCGATAATAAATACTGTTGCTATGGTTGTTTTTATTGTTGTTGTTATCGTTGTTGTTGCCAAATGTATAATTATAACCACAATAAGAATTATTATTGTTGTTAACGTTATTCAAGTTGTTGTTATTGTTGTCGGCATTGCTGTAGAGGTAGTAGTCGTTGTTGTTGTTGTTGGTGTTGTTGGTGTTGTTGTTCTTGAGGTAGAAGTCGTTGTTGATGTTTGTAGAGTGTCCAATATAGATGGCGCCGTTTTCAGCGCTATTCTTGTTATTGATGTAATTACTGTTAATATTTTGATTATTCATATAATTGTTCATATTATTATTCATATTCATGTCATTGATGTTATAATAATAATTATTATTTTTATTGGTAGTAACATCATTTGGGGGGCCGGCGTAAGAGTTTAACGGCATGTAAGCGTTGGTGCCATGATAATTTATATTATGATTAGGTTTATTGTTATCATTATTATTGTTGTTGTTTTTAATTATATCATTATATGCCGTGTGGTTTGGCGGGTTACCAATGTAAAGCGCTTCAAAATTTGGTTGCAATATTTGATTGTAGCTGCTGTCGACGTAATTGTTGTTGTAATTGTTGCTGTTTATATTGTTGTTCCCATTGTTAGTGTTGTAATTGTTGAGGTAGTTTACGTTGTCCGTATTGTTAGTAAAATTACGGTTATTGAAATCGTTTGTGTTGTTGTTGTTATAATTATCGTTATTGTAAGCATCAAGTGTGTTGCACATGTTGTTGTTGTTGCTATGAAAGTTGTTAACGTTTATAGTACTGTCGTATCTTTTATTGTCATTATCCGAGTAAAGGTCCTTGCTACCCCAAATTGTTCCACTATTTTTGGTTTCACTAATAATATAATTACTATTACCGTAATTATTACCATTGTTATTATTTTCAAAATAGTTAGGACCGAAATCGTACTGGGTCCAATTATTTCTTGTGTCGACGTTGTTTGCTGAGTTGAGCGTCTTCAGACATGTTTCAGTCATCCGACTGCGCATTTTGCTGGCAGCTTGAGTCGAGTGGTCTTTTGTTGTGGCGACCGCCGTTTGAATCGAGGCATTTCTCGGCTTGATTTTTGGTCTCTGGGTTGATTTCTCCGAAGTTTCCACCCATTTCTGACATGAAACGGATCTGTTCTTGACAGTCGCCTGAACCGGCTTTTCTGATTTTTCGTAATATTTTAAGATTTCGCAGTTGGTTGAAATAGTTTTTGTTCTCGGAGGGCAGCGACAACATGAACGTGAGTGACGCTGATGACGATTGCTCGGTGGTTCCGATTGTCTTGAAATGTGTCCTTGTTCATTACGACATTGATTTTGTGTTTATTGTTGAATGTTTATCAAAATCAAGTTCCATATCGGTAACGTGAAAAAGAGAAGAATAATTTCAACAAGAATTATAATAATTTTCAAAATATTATCACCAAGAACAATACCAACACCAAACAAATAAAAACGTCTTGATTTAACATTTAAATATTCAAACACGTTAAAATGATTTGCATATAAAAATCACAGTTAAATCACAATTTCACGAACGAAAATATGGTACGAACCTTCTCTTTCAGAGGACCCACAAGAGAGCAGCCTCGGTTCGTATCCGTATCTAGAGATGGATCTTAGACTACTAGGCAGTCGATTTGCTAGAGATTCGAGCAACTTGAGCGACATGATGGAGGTCGATCTACTGCTGCCACATCTGTGAAAAGTGCTCGGGTACTTGTACCTGGAGGGAATTGGAGTGGTTATCCGCGTGTTCGATGGAGGACGTATAACATGATTCGGTATCGGTTGATGACGAAACAGTCTTCGAACTGTAGTTTGATTTTTGAGGTTTGGCAGAGTCGCTTTCGCATGTGAATGCATTCTCATGAGAATATTTTCCTGTGTCTGAACTCACAATTTTTACAGATTTTTTACGATAGTATTTGGGCTTTTCATCTTTTGTCACATAACCAGCATCATCAGTATCTACAATTTTAGAAATTTGCTTCATTCCTTGCTTTGTTTCTTCGTCATGATCTTCATCATTATCGCTCCAAACTGATAATTTCACACTGTTTTCATGTAAATTCTTATTTCCTCTTTTCTTCTTTTGTGATTTCTCAATTAAAATTCGACTCGAATCACTTCCAAATGAACGTAAACTCACTAGATCTGGTTCTCTTTTATATTTATCATCACTGCTGATAACATTTTTAACATTGGTAACATCTATTTCTGAATTGATGGTACTACTTTTTGGCATCATGCCAAGTTTTTTATTTTTTTGATTAATTCCAATGTCTGATTTATTAACGGAAATTTTCGAATGTACATCTTCATCATCGTCATCGTCAACGCTGCCGTCAGAACTGAATGAAGACATTTTATAAGACTGTCATCTAAATTTCTTGCCACAAAGATCTTATTATATTCAATAAATAAATCAGCGAATTCAAAGGCGGTAAGATGTGAACACCTGAAAACGCGTTCCTATGGAAATATTAATATTTTATAAGTTCTTTTTCATAAATTGAATGAATTAAAACCTTTTTAATTACATGCGTTATATTCAATGTATAATGTTTTGAGAATCTACAAATGAGTCTCATTACCGTTCCATTTAGTTAGTTTCAAAAGAGAAACGATAGAGATGGGTGTTGACAATTATTTAAATTAACTTTTAAAAAATTGCATGAATCACATTTACACGCTTTATATAGCAGTGGGAGCTAAGTTTTCGCATAATTATATAACTTGGATCTTCAATTAAAAAGTGTCCTATCTAATCTACTACTATTCTGCTGTTGAAATGTTTCGTCGTGTATTTGCCAACAGTGCAAAATTTGTTGTACCTACAAACTCAAGACTTGTTTGCTCCAATTTTCCGGAGGGTTCCAAAGATCACATCAGTAAATTAGTGTCTGGCAAAAAGTTGGTGGTGTTCATGAAGGGAACGCCTGAAAATCCGCGCTGTGGTTTCAGTAATGCGGTCATTCAAATTTTGAAAATGCATGGGGTGGACAAATTTGATTCTCATGATGTCCTTCAGAGCGAAGATGTTCGACAAGGTCAGTTTGTCATTTTGAAATTGATTAATTGACATGAACTAGGAAACTGGTTCATTATTATTCTAGTTATTCCGTTTTAAAAATTTTTCAGATAAAATATTATATATTATATATTGTTAGATTGATTGATTGATATATATATTATAGAAATATTGGATTATTAAAGACTCTAAAAAATGCATTTATTGACAAAAGTCGTAGCTTGCTCTGTGTCAGTAGTTAGCTTCCTGTTAATTTTTCGATTTTTTTAATAGTAGATTGTAAACCATTATCAAGTTTCTTAAGTTCAAAACCATAATTTATATTTTTTTTAAGCAAGATAGAACAAAAAAGCTTTTTTCGGTACTCCTATACTATTTTTGGTATTTGAATTGAATTGGTCAAGTATATATTATATATAATACTCTTTCTCTACAATGTGAATTTTTCATTTGTTTAAACTAAAGATAATACTCAAAGATCTTCAACTTTATGTAATATAACATTTTTACATGTTTTCATTATCAATGATTCCTTTTTCTAAATTTATTATTAAGAAGAATTCCAATTACATGTTGTTGAATATTTATTACTATATAATATATATATATTTTACTGATTAGATATGGATACAATTTTTTAGTAAATTTTTTATACTAATCATCATACTCTTTTCCTCTTATATTTTACTACATATGTGTTTTTCTTAGCTTGTTAGAGTGTATACAAATTTTTTAAAGCCTCAAAAAACATTTTTACTGTATTTTTTTAGTCTAATTCAATCTTATCATAGATTATACTTTATTTATACTCAGGTATTTATTTTTAATTTTGCTTTTTTAAAGATGATTACCCTGTTATCAGCCAGCAAACGCAGAACATCTGCAACACTTAAAAATCTTTTATAGTTTATACATATTAAAACGTAATTGCATAAAATATTAATTGACAGGTGTGAAAGACTACTCCAGCTGGCCGACACTTCCACAAGTTTTTATAAATGGAGAGTTTGTCGGGGGCTGTGACATCATGATCGAGATGCACCAGAATGGCCAACTCATCAAAGAACTTCAAAAGATTGATATAAAATCTTTATTAGATAAAAAATGATTGTTTTCGTTTCTTCCACCTCTGTTGTTGTCCTCATCATCGTTTGCCTCATAATTCATTTTAATTTATTATCATCATGTGTTGTCTCTGTACCTGTTCAATAAAAAATTTATCAAATAGCAAACCTGCTGAATGTTATTTTATTAATTTAAATTTGCATGATATGGAAGTAAGTTTGTGAAGATGTTGAATCCGGTCTGTGAGATGAACTGTGATTTTATTGCTGGTCTGTCATCTGTTTTTGTTGAATCATACAAACAAAGTCTCAGAATTTCAAAACTTTTGAGAATTAATAGAAATTTGGCACTTGGTCAATATTATAGTTTCTACCAACTTTAGGTTGAGAGATCTTGTGTGGTATCATCTTGTCTAGCTTTTTTTATTCAAAGTTGAATGTTACAGTATTACAATATTATTTTATAATTTGAATTTTATATCAGTTGTTTCCGTTTGCACCTCTTTTTCTGCAATAGTCTCTAGATGGGTAAATTTTTCATATTTGTTGGCAGCCTTGCGTGGTGTGCAAAATTTTTCACAATCAGATATTCCTGATGGACTGACCACAACAAAATCTGCTCTTTTTACTGACTCTTCTGTGGTGACTTCTGAAGACATAGTCATTCATTTGAGGGCTCTTCAGTTTGTGTAATTAATAGCTGTTGTGTCATCACGACCAAGTTATTTATGACCTATTATTTTTATTCACATGTGCATACCTGTAACGAACCACTCACTACATGTCATGCATATTTCATTTATTTTTCGTTTACATAAAATCTAACGTGTTATAGCTCAAATGTTTTAAAGGAAATGCCGGTAGAAAAATTTTCAATTCATCTGTCTGTGTGTGTGTGTGTGTGTGTGTCTGTGTGTGTTGAGAATTTGAATCAACAAACCAAAATCATGTCGTTCAGTTGCAGTGAAGTATCAATCACGAGTAACAAACAATGGAAAACAGTTAAGAAACAACCCAGTCTTTAGCAGTAGCAACATAATATACAAATTAAACGAAATTAATAATCTAACAGTTATTTTGTTATCACCAAACTAAGATTATAAAAAAAATCATATCACCAATGATAAATAACAAGCTAAAATGCGGTAGAGTTAGACAAAAATGCCAATAAAATTCAACAATAATAAATAAACAAACTATTGAAACGTTAAAATGGCCAAGAAGTTATGGAATCGTATACAGATTTCACGTGCCAGGTGATCACTTTCACATCGTCACTTGCTCCATCGTACTCGTTCACATCAACTAAAACATAGCATAGTTGTCATTTTATTGCAACATTAACCATCGCCACTCGCCAGCACTCAAGTCATCAGCATCACAATCACTGATCCATTGCATCGATAGCTAGTTTCTTATTCATGACGTCATCGTCGACTCCTCCCACATTGCCTTCGTCGGCCAATGGCGCCTTCTCCTGGTTTGATATGATCTTGCTGGCGTTAGCGGACAATGACAGTCTGTGAGATCGTTACCAATATTAACTCGTCGTTATCATATTACTGCATTCATCTTTCATCAATGGTAAAGTTAATGACAGAGGACTTGTCAAACGTGATTATGTATTATCACATCAAGAAGACAAAACCTCAATCATCATCATTACAGTGATTTTGTCATTTTCATTACGACTATCACTATCACGACACCGACGCTAACATCAACATGAAAATTATCACATCATCATTACCGTCGTCAACATCATCATCACCATCATCATCATCATAACCTGAAAAGCCACCACTGGCAGAGGAAAGCAACAAAAAGGAAACAAACGCATAGAATGAAGATGGTCTTCATTGGAAAATTCTAAAATGATGATGATGATGTTGAAGATGATGATGTTCATCATCATCATCATCAGCTGCATCATCATAATCATCTACGCCATCATCATCACCATCGGCTACATAGGCATCACCACCATCATCATCATTAACGATCACTATCATCACCATCATCACCTGAGTGAGAATGAGAATTACAATGAGATTCAAAGGCACTCTGAATATATTCATCGTTGTGGCTCTGGCTGATGATTATTATTATGATCATTGTGAAGATGACAATAGAAATGATAGCAACGATTATTCACGTGATGACCGTTGAAATGATTGTTGAAATAACGAAGGCTGATGTCAATTACAACAATATACATATATCAATCAATCTTCGTTTTGCGTCCAGAGACCCGGTTCCCCGAGGTAGAACGTAACAATATACATATATAAGTTAATAAACCAAATGATCGATGAACCGACCAACGAATCAATCAATCAACCAAACGAAAGATCAATCAACCAACGAATCAATCCACAACCCAGCAGCAGCAATAGACTTACTGGCTTCAGGGACATACAGATCTCTCATGGTACTCATACTCGGCCAGAAGATTCCAACACAGACCTCGAAGATCAAGAAGCCACTGAAGATCAACGCTTGATTCTGATTGGTTAGTTCATTCTAAATCCTCAAAGAAGCTCAATGATCATTGGTTCGTCGTTAATTTTATGCATGACCACACTAATACTCAACAACCATTGGTTAGCTTTCACATGTAATTGTAATTGAGTAATTGTCATTTGAGGATGTCAATGCCTAATGTAGGTCTCTAATAGTTCCCCTACCAGAAAACCCTGCTGCTCTTCTCACGCCTGCACTTCTTAATTTATTTACACTTCCTAATTTCTGCATTCAAATATTTTATAAGTTTGATTCTAATTACTCAATTATATATGATTTTGAAATTTTTTTTCTAACATTTTGCTGTCACCTAATTAGCCTGCCTGGTTTGCTATAACTAGTTAACCTTCGTTCGTTTATTAAATTTTATTTTTATGGTATTTATTAGGACAAAGAACAAAAGCATTTCAACGCTTTACAAATCATTTCAGTGCTTTGCAAATCATATCAATGTTGTTTTTTTCTTCAAAATTCTATTTGTGAAACGATAAAAGTTTAAAAAATGAGGAACATAAGTGGACTTACTCCAGGGAAAAAGACAGGCGTCAGTAAGGAAGCAGACGAGATCAACATGACCATCCTTGAAAATAAATAACTCGTCGTTTATTCAATGTGATAAATAATCTGAAATGAACAACTTTCTTTCCTATCGATGTGCAGAGCAGTTCGGAGTAATTTTTTAATATTTTTTATTTTTATTTAATATTTAATAATTTTTTAATAATAATTTTTCAACAAATGAATGTTGGCAAATTTGTAGGTTGATGACGATGTCGGCACTTATAGTTTACTTATTATTAATACACGTTTTTCAGTAAATCAATCAATCAATCAATCAATCAATCAATCAATCAATCAATCAATCAATCAATCAATCAATCAATCAATTTCAGCTACTCAATCAAAAAAAAATAGAGAGAGAGAAAGAGAGACAGAGAGAAAGAGAGAGAGAGAGAGGAGAGAGAGAGAGAAAATAAGTTTGAAAGAGATTCCTAGTTGACATGACAAAATAAAATAACACTTGTCACAACTATGTTATATTTCTTTATCTATTAGCAAAACCATCTCTGTTGTTTCAACATTTTGTTGAGTGATTGTAGCTGTTGTGATGCTGTTGTTGTTGTTGTTGTTGTTAGTTTATTATTTATTGCTGCCGTCGTTTAGTTTTTGATATGATGTTGTTGTTGCTGATTTGTCGTTGCACTGTTGTTTTTTAACATAAGTTTGGGTATGTTGTTGCTGTTGTTGTTTGTCATAGTTTAATAGAGCAAAGAATTTAAGCAGCAAGAGGCAACAAAACTATCACAAACAACCTCATGAAGGATTCAATTGGTCTGCTCTTTCTGATGAGTTCAAATAGAGAGGAACCAATCATAATGGAGACCTGCGTATTGTTGTAACGTAACGTAACGCTGTAATGTTGTCTTTTTCTAGCTATGTGAATGTTGTTCTAATGTGGTGGTTTTGTTGTTGCAAAGTTGAGCGCTGATGTTGAGATTGATGAAATATATGAAGGATTGATTTTGCCTTCCTAAGAAAGTCATGTAGTCAGAGATAATTAATTCATCATCATCATCATCACATCATCATCACATTAACGACACCACAAAAGACGCAAGCCAACCATAAACCCAGCAAAGATGATTCCATGTGGAATGCTTGCACTATCCTCATCACTGGTTGACGGTGGTGTGGTTGGTGATGACGGCAACGGTGAGGAGGGTGAGGATCTTGGTGGTGGGGAGAGGGCAGGGGTCCACTCGAGAACGAAGGTGTACATGGCCCCCTCAAAGAGAGATTGTATGAGGCCCAGGCAAAGAATCTTTGCATCTGCGTGGTCATGTGATATTGCGCGGTCATGTGGTTTTGCGTGGTCACGTGAATGAAAATGAAATTTTTATGTAAATTGATTGGCGGTTAAATATCGCAATACCAAGAAACCTTTCTTGGTACTGAAAGGGTTTAGACTAATTCAAATAGATCAAATATAACAACAATACTGGAAAAGGTTGATAAATTCTTACTAGCAAACCGTCCAATATTTTTTCCCACCAAAAGGTACGCACCTCTCCAATTAAAAAAAATTACAAAATTTTTATAAAACCAATTCGTAAAATCAGTGAGTTTTTTCAGCAGTACGATTTTGAGGATGAAGAGCAACAGGCATTCGTCCCTCGTCCATTAAATCAACTCAGTAAGAAATGAGACAGAATCTGATGAATGGAATGAAAAAGTCCGACCCATAACAGATGGAGACCATGAACGAGGATTGATTGACGATTTTGACAATGAAAATGTTAAAAAAAGAAAAATAGTCCAAGAGGTTTCCCTTCCCCTGCAAGCGGCATCCCGTTCACGATGCAGTACCTCGCACCCCTTGCTACGCCACTGTCCGAGTCGTTCCTCGTCCATTAAATCAACTCATTATACAATATACACACGCACAAACACACACACACATATACATATTTATATTTATCAGATATACTGTTCATATGACTTCACATCCATCCAGCTCTCGTCCACCCCAGCATGTTTTCGTCTCAGAGGTGTTAGAAGCACACCGTTAGGCTGAAAATTAAATTAACTACTATTAGTTCTCTATTTCATTTTTCGGACCTGGCATAAGTTGCCAAGTGAAATGTCAGCTTTAGATGTCCCACTGCCAATGAGAATTAACTAATAGCATCGCAAATTTCTCTGCCCATATATGAAGCATGCTGGAAAAAAAACTTTTATGAAAAAACTTCTATTTATAAACGAAGAATAAAGCAATAAATATTTTTGATGACAGCATCGCCAAAACGGCTAACCAGCTCTGATGGTCTTCAGTGATTGGCCGAAGGACTGCATGGTTGAAGCTGATTGGTCGCCGTAGTTTTCAACCCAAGTGAAGTAGATGACGATGCACATTATGACCAGTGAGATTATGGAAACGTCGAATGGAGCGCTTAAGTAAAAGTTCAGTTATAATTAGTCGTTTGTGATGACGTGATTGTTGCTTAGTTTTGATCGAGAAGAAGTGATTGGTCAGTTGTCGGTTGTTATTAGTTAAAGAAGTAATTAAATGGTTGAAAAGATGTAATTAAATGAAATAATTGACTGAATGAAAATACAATTAGCTGAATGAGTGCATAACTGAAAGCTAAAAATTGAAAAGTTAAAAGTGAATGATGGGAAGGTGGGCGGTGGAACTGCTGAAACTGCTGCGTTGAATCTTGCATCAAAGCTGCACGTGCACCATTTGCACATTTAAAAAATGCCCACACATATAATGAATGATCATTCATGATTAACACACATCCACAATGAGCAAACAACGTTCATGCAAATTTGGCTCATCTGGATTTTTTAACAAATTTTCATGAATATAAACGAAAGCATAAAAAGAACCAACACATAGCCAAAAAAATCAGCTGCCTTCTGAGCCACAACTCCTGAACAGATGGCCACAATGGAGTTGCCAACAACAGCGTGAGAGAAGATGGAGCCCAAGAGATGGGGTTCGAATCCTCTCTGAACCAATCAATTGTTTGTTTGTTGGTTTGGCTGATTATTTGTTTGTTTGTCTGATTGGTTGTTTGTTAGTTTTTGTGGCTAGTTTCTGACTGAGTTTTAAATAGGGATGCACCGGATTCAGGTTTTTCAAATCCGGCCGGGGCCGGACTTGGCCGGATTTAAAATTCAAAAACCGGCCGGGGCCGGATTTTAGTTACCATTTTACATACGTTAGAAAAAATACTCACATTTACGGTTATCTACATGTTGAACATCAAAAAATAACACCAAGCAAATAGTTATATAATTCAAATATATGAATAAGTTGTGTGATACGCCAAATTCTGTACACAAAGATCAGCTTATAATTTATGCATATTTGCATAACCCAAGTTAAAGCACAAAGAAAATTGTCCAGCTCACCGCACAATTAGTGATGTTGTAATTATTTGTCATATATACCTAGCCTAACCTTTAACATACCATGTTTTTAAATTATGTGCTTATGTATCTCTCTCACACTCTCTAAATATATATATATATATATATATATATATATAGATATATCTTTATATATATATATAGAAATAAATATATATATATTATGTAGCTATATGATCCGTCATGTGCAATTATCAATATATAGTATATACACGTGCACAAGTTCTTTTACACAAAGATCAGCTTATAATTTATGCGTAACCCATGTTATAGCATAAAGAAAATTGTCCAGATTACCTCACAATTAGTGATGTTGTTATTATGTGTCATGTATGCCTTTAGCTTAGCCTTAGCCATTAACTTATTGACAAAAAATTAATTGAATTCAATAAAATTTTTTTTTCTATTTCTAACATTTTTAAAATAGATAGACGCTTAAATCCGGCCCTAAATCCGGCCACCAAATCCGGCCGGGGCCGGATTCGACCGGATTTGAAAAAAAAGCCGGATTTTGGCCGGGGCCGGAGCCGAACTTCGGTGCATCCCTAGTTTTAAAGAAGTGAATGTCCTATAACAATGCATTATTAAAGCATTCACAATTTATTGACTAATTAAATTAATGAATTTAAATATTACAAATAGTATAGTTAATAATCAACGTCAACATTCATGCAAACGACATGACATTCATTGCGACAGCACTGATGTGCCAGCCTGCAATTTTTGCTACTAATTGTAGCAAAGTAAAAGCAAGGTAAACAAAAAGTAAAAAATAGGTATTTGTCATTATATGATTGTAACACAACAACAACAACAATAATAACATAACTATAAAAGATATCATCAGAGGAGAAGAAAATGAGAAAAAAAACAAACAAACAACTCAATATGAATTTATTACTAGCAACGCCATAATTAGTTGCTCATAAATGTAGATGCAGCAGATGTTGCAGTTGCTGTTGGATCCCATGCAGTAGAAGTACAGTCTGATCATAAGTATAGGATAGCATGTAGGCAGTTTTGCACTTAACAGATCTCTATTATAAAGAATGAAAGAACCAATAAGCATCAAAGCTAACTGGATTACTTTGCAACCATCCAACCTCTCTAGTCTCACCAACTTATTAAAAATTAAAAACATCCTATATAATTATAAATTAAATATCATTCAACCAGTTTTTTTAGAAACTAACATATGAAAATAACTTCATTGAACTATGCAAACACCGGCACATTGTAACAACTATTAAAATCAATCAATCAATCAATCAATCAATCAATCAATCAATCAATCAATCAATCAATCAATCAATCAATCAATCAATCAATCAATCAATCAATCAATCAATCAATCAATCAATCAATCAATCAATCAATCAATCAATCAATCAATCAATCAATCAATCAATCAATCAAGCCTATCCCTAACCAATCATCAGCTATCTAATCAACCACTCAAGCAAACAACCTTATGATGTTCTAGAATGACCCACGATTCAAATGCGCTGTAGAGTATGGAGGTCGCGATTCCGCCCAGCAGGCGACCGACCATCAATATCGAGAAGTTGTTGAAGTGCTTGAAGTGGTAGTGGTAATAATAATATACATGCATTTTGATAGAACATCCCAAATGATAATAATAACTAACATAAACATCATCAGCATCACCAACATCATCACCATTATTATCAAGGGGAAAAGATGATAGACAACCTTGGTGACGCATGACAGAGAGTACAGGATGCCATACAGGATGCAGTTTGTCTTTCTTCCACTTAGAAGAATTTTCAACAAAACAATTGGACATTTAAACGTTTAACAACTCCGACAACATTATACAAGAATAATAAATAAAAATCTTAAAAAAATAAATAGAAAAAATAAAAATAAATAGCAAATATTAACAATTATTAAGTCACTTGTTCTTGTTCTGTTGTCACAATATTATTGCTTACTTTTTAAAAGGTATATACACTAGGGATATATCGAGTGTAATATGAAAAGTTTCTAAATAGAGAAAAAACTGTCACAAAATCATAGATGGATGGATGGATTGTAATTTGTTATTTATAAAGTGCTAATTATAATTGCTTCTTATCAGCGCTCTCCACGTAGAAGTAGTAGAAGTATCCAAGAACTAATACAAAATATGAGAAAGAATATCCAAAAAAGCTGTCTTGGTAGAATGAAACTTTCTGAAAACTGACTGATACAAATGCCAAAGGCCATTCTTATTAATGTGATCATTTCAAACTAGATCTACGGCACGCAGCTCTATGATTTGGGAAACAAATGATAAATTTGACACCGGCCTATAATTTTTTAAATCCGTTTTCTCTAATTCGATTTTTTTAAAAATTGGAGTGACAGTCTCCCATGCTTACAAACAAGAAGCATGTGCCTTTCTTCTAGTAGAGGTTAATTATATATGATGGATGGATGTATGGATGGATGGATGGATGGATGTATGGATGGATGGATGGATCACACAGAAGACCTACCAACATGGATGGATCACATCACAACATTAACAAATTAACTTGGGTGGTGACATAACAATATCAAAAGGAAACAGATGAATTATTATACATAACAAGAGCAACCGAAATGGGTCAATCACATCACAACATCAGCCAACATGAATGGTAACATCACATCAACGAGAAACAGATGAATTCATCCCAACATCAACAAAATAATATGAATGGATTACTTTACTACAAGATCAACAAAAAAAAAGATTACATTACAACATCAACAAAATAACATGAATGAATTGTTACAAAATCAACAAAGCAACATATATTACAACACATCAGTTACTATTTGTCTGCTACAGATCCAACAACAGTCCCGAAGAGCATGCTAGATCCAAAGCCTGCGACGAAGAGCAGCTCGATGTCATGTGTCGCCATGCCGTAACTTTGGTACAATGCATATACGTAAGGTCCTTGCAACCAATCCCCAGCTATGAAAGAAAAAAAATTACATTACTGTCACTTTTGAAAAAGATATGATATAGATAGCTTATAGCAGCTTCACCTTAACTACAGGGCCTAACAGCTAACTAAACTCTCAGCTTTCTACTTGTCCTAAAAATAAAACCTAACCTAGAATCTAGATTAGTGAACTATTGATAACAATAATAATAATAAAAGCATATAAGAACTTCAACAAACTTTTTCCAGTAAGTGTTTAATTTATCAGCTCTTTTTAAAAATTATTAAATCAGAATTAAAAAATCTAAAAATGAAATTAAAATTAAACAATTTTTTTACCTGCAGCCAGTAGATAGACGATCAGGTAGCTCCTCTTGAAATTTCGAAAGCTGATGTCGGTGACGACGGGCAGAGCAGTCCTGCTGTAGAAGTACAGAATGACGCAAAAGACGATTAGGACGAGGAATCCGACGAGGAAGATCGTCATCTTGACGAGTTTACTGTCGAACCGTTGACAACGTAAAAAAAATTGAAGCAAGTTTGATGCTTCATGGGTGAAACAAAACAATGACTGAGAAATATGGTTAGCTAAATGAACAAACATTGACATTTTCCAATTTTTTTTTGTTAAAAAAGCCAGCATTCTCATATAATTAAGAAAGTGGATAAATAAATAAAATTGGTCAGTTGTTTTAATAAAATTTCAAACAGGAATTGCCTCATCGTATTTACTCAATGTAAAAGGCTAAAACACTTTTCCAAAGTCTAGAGGAATCAACAACAAACATGCAACGTGCTCACTCAACGACGCATCCCACACCAAGCACGCGATGGACGAGGATCCTTTTGTTGTGTTCGAACCGGGTCAGTGCGAAACAGCACCAAGCCACCTATCACTCTAGTGAATCAATGACGTCACGCATCCATTACAAACGATGCTGGGAAACTCCGGTGAGTGATCATTTACAGCGTAAAAATACAGCGTGATGACGTAGGTAGGTAGGTTCCAAGTCAACGTTCATATCAAACACTCCGTTTTACTTCCTATACGTAATTAATTCACAGGTTGTTTCAGTCGAATTTGACGTTAAAAATTTTATATGGAAATGTGACATTATTTTTTACTAATGTTTGTTATTCATTTTGTAACAAGCTACTGAACTTTTGAAAAAAAGTCAAGTTTTTTTCTGTAATAGTCTGAGGTATCGTGACGACCGTGATATTTTCGAATTATTGTGCCTTCTGGATGAAATGAACAAAAGTCAGGACCAGGAAGTTATTAAAAAATATATATAGCCCCGAGCCATTTTTTTCTTATCCTGCATGTTGTTTCTCGTGTTCGGACCCTGCCAGTAACGGAACAAGCGATTTTAACAATTACGCTATTAAAACACAAGCCCCCAAGAAATGTTTGTAAAATATTTTGTAGAATATATAACTTAAAAGTTTTCCAGAATAAACAAAAACCTATATAGAATAAACATACATGAACGGCAGGTAAACTAAAATAAAAAAATTGTAAATAGTGTTCTTATTTTTGTTGAAAAATTAATTTGTTTGCATAGAGTAGCTTATATTTATAATGTTTAGTTATTGCATTTGTCAACCATCATGACTGTAATTAAAAATCAACAACAGCTTGTTCGTGGGTTCATGTTAAACGTTTTTCTAAGACTCAAGCACTTGTCTCTGTCAATGAACAAACTGTGGTTCTTCAAGTTCAAATCGTGTTGCAGAGATTTTATACTTCTGGCAAGATGTCCTTCAACGTACTCTGCCTCTCTTAGTTTTTTCATCAGTTCATCCACGTTTTCATCAAGATCTGTTAGTTCTTTTACTAATCTGTCAAGAAATTTATTTATTATCACTTAAAGGCTGCATATACATACTACTCTCTATTTCAATTGATAAAATAATTGTCTTTGGCTAACTTCAACGGTTCTATAAACTATAAAATGAAACCTTTTATTGAGAGGGTGTGATTAACAAAGGAAGTTATCAAATTAATCGCAAATTTGAATCCGGTTTACTTTTCATGGGCTGGATCTAGGCAGGCCTCCATATTTAGTCTGTTCGCTCTGACATGCAGACGAGTTTGTGCCAGTTGAATTGGTGCGTTTTTGTCTCTAATGTTTTTCTTCAAATATTCTGTCGTTTTTTGGGCATCTATCAGTTCGTTTGATAGCTAGAAATAAAAAGTAAGCTAGTGTATAAATGAAAATGAACTGTTAACTAGAACCCACCAAGCTCATCATGAAATTAAATATTGCACAACCTCTCGTAAGTGAGTTTCAAGTTTGTGTTTTGCTCGAAGGTGGTCCTCAATTCTAAAAGATAGCACTTCATTCGTCGAAATCCAATGTTTAACCAGCGATCCCGATAACTGACCGACCAGACGGTTGATATCTTGGTCGAGGGATCGACTTTTTGTTCTTTCAGCTTGGCTCGCTTGAATCAAATTGACTGCTTGTTCAACCCAAGCTTGTGGATCACTGATACTAAATAACAAAAATTCATCATGCTGCTGGTCATCAAGAGGTATGTAAACAGTTATTTGAATTAGTTTTAATCGTTATTTGCTTACAACCAAGCATTTATCAAACCATTCGTCCGATCATTAATCAATGTAATCAATCCAAGAATACAAAACTAATCAACGCATACATGAATATCGAGCCAATCCATTGATAAACCAACCAATCCACACATTAACACATCAATCAATCGAACAATCTACCAACTAACCAATCTACACGTAAACAACCAATTAACCAGTCCAAACATAAAGAACAAATCAACCAACAACGAACAAACCAACGAACCAATCTACACATACTCAACCAATCAAAATATAACACACGTCGTATTAGCACTCTCAATGCCAGGAGGAAATTTCAGATTGGCTGAAGTGTTCTTCATGTCTCTGCACTTTTTGTCGATAACATTAGCTCTGTGTTTGTCCATTATGTTGTCGCTCAGAAGGTTCTGAATGTGCTTGTTACGCCTGCAGTTACAACATTTCATTGCAACTGAAGAAAAATGCAGGGCAGTGTCTTGCATGTCGTTATTTATGTTATGTCAAATTGATTTAAATGGAAAGAAAATCTAATTTACTTTTTTCTAATCAAAACGTGAAAAATGACGTCATCAGATAAACCAATTTACATCACACAAGTTAATACTTAACAATCCGCTTTTTTGACCTCATATGGTATTTGACGTTTAAAATAAAATTTGGAAAACAAAATTCTGAAAAAATTATTGAATATAAAAAATATTTACTGCAATTGTCCCTGTACATCAAACAAATGATTCCCCAAGGCAGATCGGACACTTTGAATATTCTCCAATTCCTACAAACAGTTTGTAAGTTCATTATTTTGACAAAAAGAAAACTTATTAAAAAATTTTTTTCATGAAATTTGAAATTATTTGTGGGCAAACGTGACAAGTGGTGAACAAAATTATATATTTGATATATTTAATGATGTGCGAAAATTATTGTTAGCTTCTTAATAACAGTTGACAACCTTTCTCAGTTCTTCGTCTACGTCATCATCGACCATTTCAATCTCCTTTCGGTTCTTCCTCTCTTCGATGCATTTCAAAATCATTTCCAGTGGCATATCTGTGTAAGCCAGGGCATTTGAAACGCAATTTTCAATTTTTTCTAAATTTTTAGTTTCGTTGACCAAATCGTTAAGTTCTTTTTCCAGTTCTTTCTTCCAGTGATCGATATCTTTCGCTCGATCGTCCAATCTCTTCGTCACATCTCTGCTACCTTTTCTGGTTTTCTCACAAGCATCTTCGCACACCCTCAACGCTTCAGCTCTCATAAGTTCAGATCCTGCTTTTATTCTGTCGGAAGCATTCAACAAACTTCCATTACTGACTTTCCAATCTTCCATCGAGTACACCTCTCGGTGTTCATTTTTCGCATTTCTCACTTTTTGGAATTCTTCAGTGACAAGAGCGGTTGGTAGAGCTGTTAGTCGTGCTTCTTCTTTGAGTTTTGGAATATCAAATTCATTCAAAACAGCAGCATCTTGGTAATTTTTAGTTGAACCATACCTATTGGCGGTTGTTCTCAAACTACTGAACATCGGAGCTTTCATTTTTATATTGTTCGTCATCATTACATCTCTGCTTACGTCGTAATCATCCGAAAAATTATTTACACGATTAAAAGAATTATTACTATCATTGTAGATGTTTTTTTGATTGAGATTCAAAGATCGGTCAAACCTATCGTTGAGGTTCTCTCTATTGGCCGAGATGTTGTCGCGATAGGCATCGCCTGATATTGTTGTGTAGACGGAGGTCTTAGTTTGTCCCATGTACTCCATGCTTGTGTCTTGGCTGGCAGCTGGCTTTCTACAAGTTGGTGTACGTTCAAGTATCATTTGTTTATATGGTTAGCTAAATTCACTGACAACAATTTATTATTTTATGAATTCAAAATGAGAAATCATTTAAGACCTACCTGGTTTTAATAACTGAAACAACTGAAAAATTAAAATGTATTTAGTTGGAGTTTAAATTTCATATAAAGAAGTATAAATCACATATATTTGAGATGTTTGTCATTCATTTATGAAATGCCAGGTAATCAGATCTTGATAATTTATTATCATAAATGTTAGATACAATCGTGATGGTTTAATAAATATTAAAATTAAAAAAAATGCCTGTACACCTATTGATATATAAATTTATGTGTATGTGTATATATATATATATATATATATACAAATATATATATATATATATATATACAAATATATATATATATATATATATATATACATAACATATAAGTTATGCATTGGTTGTTAAGTAGAGAGATATTCATAATATCGATCTATTTATGAACATCATATTACGAACATCTCTACGGCGTTTCTTAGCAACTATCGCTGGTCCAAAGATCATTTATAAGATGGTTTTTGCCTGTAAAGTATGGTGTATAATCCGATGTTGGATGTGCGTGTGTAATCTATCGTAATGTTATGAAGCGAGATTACGAAGTTTTAATTTAATAATGCTTCGATAATTTCGAAAAAAAGGTTTAGTGTTTTAACTGCCTTCTTTATACTGGTAGGTATGGCATATTTGGTATATCCGGTTTTAAAGTATTATTCAGGCATCGATCAGTTCATGGGCTGATATCTGTACCTATATCAGATATACTTATGATACTATCTTCTTTATTATGTGCGTGTGTGTTTGTGTGCTTTTGCGTCTAAAAGTGGAATTGGGTATATATGTACATTTATCTCTGTACGTGTTTTGTTGTTAGTGTGTTTTCGTTATCTAATACAAAAAGGGAGAGAGGAAAAAGAGAGGGGGAAAGAAAAAAAACTGAAACAACTGAACTAACAAAGATAATTTTTGGAATTTAAAAAAAGAATTTGAAAGATTTTTTTAATTTATTAGTTTTAAAATGGGTTGTTAGCATACACTGATGCTGTGTTGATATGTTTAATGAAGCATTGCATAAAAATAATAACAATAATAATAATATGATAATAATAATTATATTATTTTTATTAATATTATTACAATAGTGGTAATGTTAGTTTCAGTAATAATAACAATAACCAAAGAACAATTTCATTCCATTTACAGTAGCCATAATGCTAATAATAATAATAATGCTAATAATAATCATGCTAGTAATAATAATAATAATGCTAATAATAAATATTAGATGCAATGTCTGGGTCAAGCATGTCCTGGTTAATTGCTTGGGTTAAAAATTATTGAAACTAAAAATATTATTATTAATAATTAATGGAAGCACCATTGAGAATAATTTTTAACGGCAAGCATAATAATAACAATAATAATGATAATAACCACAAAAAGGATAATAATAATAACGATAACTACATTTTTATGGTTGACATAATCTTTAAATTGTATAGATATATATTGAGAACAATCTTTTATTCAGCAATAAAAACAAATGAAAATGAAAATAAAATAAAATGCCAAATAGAATAAAATAAAGTGTCAAACAGAGTAGTAATTTAGTCAACGAAGCTCTTCATCCAAAGAGAGTTAGTACAACTAGAGTTAAATTAGTTTCAAAAGTGATTCAAGTCACATTTCTATGCTATTGCAGATTTGATCAGACCAAATAATGCTTACCAGAGATAAATTAAATATTTTAAATAAACCTAGAGTTGAAATTTCAAATGTATTTATTTATATTTTTAAATTTCTCACTGATGTTTAAAGTTCTCAATCAAGTTATTTTGCGAGCTATCAGAGTATTTGGATAGTTTATGTTCTTTAAAATTAAAAAAAGTTATATTATAATAAAAATAATAATAATAACGACAACTACATTTTTATTGGTAACATGATCTTTAAGTTGTGCAGATATACAATAACAATAATAATTACTTCATAATAGTAATTACTTCAATAATAAACAATGATAACAATAATAATAAAAATAATAATAAATAATGACAATAATAATGACAATAAAAAGGTTTTATTGAAGTTAAAACCAAAAAAAAATCAAGTTAAAAACATCTGCCATCTCAAAAAAGATGTCTCTTCAACATTAGCAACAGCAACTGAAAAGTGAACAGAACAAAGATGAAACATGAAGAAGAAAAAACTTTTAAGAACAATTTCTTTTTTTTCGTTCTTCACTTGTCGCTCGCTTTCTGCGGTCCTTGCGTCTCATTTTTAAACAAATTTTAAGTGGCTGTCACTTTAAATTATGTGATTATGTGACTTTTTGGTAGTGTGCGCGTGTGTATGTGCGCGCCATTTGTTTTACTATTTAATTTCTGTTCATATTCAATTATATAGTTGCCAATAAATTTTAACGACTAAACAACTTGACAAAACAATTTGCAATCGCCCAAAAATAATTTTGATTTCAAATTAATTTTTTATTTGTTATATTATTTAGTTCTGATTAAAATTACCTTCATCATCATTATTACTTTTTTATTATTTTATTTTGGTTTTATTTTGATTTGCTTTGATGTTTTCTGATAATAAAATAGTTCACATTATTATTATTATTATTATTATTATTATTATTATTATTATTATTATTATTAGTAGTAGTAGTAGTAGTAGTAGTAGTAATAGAAGTAGTAGCAGTAGTGCCTATTAGCAGTAGTGGCGGTAGTAATTGTGGTAGTGGTGGTAGTGATTTTGGCGGAGTTCGTACTGAGCTGCTCTGGTAATGCAGAGGTTTTTTTTTACATACAGTTCACCAGTTAAACTTTTTGAATAAAAATTGTGTCGACACCGGCTGCCAGCACCATCAAATGGTTTGGTGGGTCGTAAACTTCCGTTATAAAATATTAATGCGCCCCATAAGCAGACATTTATATTTGTCCTTCAATTTAATGGACCACTTATGAATTCATAACTGTTTGCATACTTTCAAACAACCATATAATTGATCATTTACGAGAGATACATTACTTAGAGCTCTTGAGCGTGATCAGTGCTTAGTCTTTCAAACAAAATTTAAATTGCTTTTGAACCTAGCGATGGAGAGGTGGGGGAACGTGTGGATTGGATCACATTCCATCCTTCCAATCCATCCAATGTTCAATCCACAATGATCAAATAGGGAAAAATAAATTAACCCAAAGTGCACTTTCGTACTGAACTGAACGTGTACCACCATGCTGAACGTGACGAACTTCTGCTAGCCGCATAATCTTCTGACGATCATCCTCCAAGCCACCAGACCATTAACTGTGGGACAACACGTTCGGAAAATAATTTTTTGTTGCTTTATTTATTAATTTTTTATCTTTAACAATTTTAAATAATCACATTAAGCGTACTATGATAAAACGCCACAACAAGGAAAAATATAACCTCAACCACCAAAATGAACGAGGATCATTTGTCGTTGCAGTTTAGTGCCGACAGCAGATGTTATGTCACAGCATCTCCTCTCAACAAATTTTTCACTAGAGTTCATGTCAGTTGTCACATGAAAATGTTCGTTCATGCTGGTTTATTTTTAGCAACAGTCTGCCTAATAAAAAACATCCCTACTACAAACCCATCCTAACAAAGAGTTTAATTGACAACTTGTCTTATGATTAATGGCTGATGTTGACTGTGCTGCTAACCTATAAATTGCTACATTTTTTTACAACTGACATCGACGCAAAAAATTTCATTTTTAACGTTTTTAACGTTAAAATATCATTATAAAATTTAGTTCACTTGAAAACTTCAACAGAAAATTAACAGAAAACAGCTTGCCGCACGATGTTATGTAACTAAAAAGACGTCAAATCAGGATGCAGGCTTGTTTCATTTTCACTAAAAAATCAAGTTTGCCATCTTGTTACAAAAAATTGACCATCAACCACTATTTAATCTCTTATTAATAAAATTAATTATATGTTTGTTTGAAAGTATGCAAACAGTTATGAATTCATAAGTGGTCCATTAAGTTGAAACGACATATGTAGTTGTCTGATGCATCGGTGCATTAATATTTAACAATGGGAGTTACGACCCATCAACCACTATTTAACAGTAATCAAATAAAGAAATGGCACTTATGCTGCAGTGACTGGGTTTGACTGCAAGGTATCTCCGCCTCTCACATACACTGTGTGTGGTGAGTTGATTCACGTGTGCTTACTACATACAATGTGTGTATGTTGTAGAAACCTATGGAAATTATACAAATAAATGCACACAAAATTGCCGCAAAATTGCCAAGAGCACCACTGCCATCATCATCATCATCATCATCATCACCATCATCATCACCATCGTAGTTGTCTCATCTCTCTGGTTTTATTTTAATTTTACTGCTATTTCATTGTTCACCATGGTGAGAAGTTTGGGCTGTTCATCATTTTTAGTATATTTTAATTGATATTATTTAAAAACAACAAAAAAA